TGGCTCTGGTGAGCGCATTAGCCAGTCTACAATCTGGTCCAGAGTGGAGTCCTGCCTCCTACCTCAATGGGACCGTAGGTCTAAATATATATATAGCTGGGCACAGTGGCCCATGCCTGTAATCCCAGCACTTTGGGAGGCCAAGACAGGCGAATCACCTGAGGTCAGGAGTTTGAGACTAGCCTGGCCAACATGGTGAAGCCCCGTCTCTACTAAAAATACAAAATTAGCCGGGTGTGGTGGCGCATGCCTGTAATCTCAGCTACTCAGTAGGAGGCTGAGGCAGGAGAATCACCTGAGCCCGGGAGGTGGAGGTTGCAGTTAGCTGAGATTGCACCACTGCACTCCAGCCTGGGTGATAGAGCAAGATGCAGTCTCAAAAGGAAAAAAAAAAAATATATATATATATATATATATATGTAAAATAAATAAGTTATATATGTAACTTAAAAGTTAAAAAATATGTATTTTTCCAGATCATCCTTCCACCCTCCACCCTCCAATAGGCCTCTGTGTGTGTTGTTCCTCTCTATATGTCCATGTGTTCTCATCATTTAGCTCTTACTTCCAAGTGACAAATGGGATCTAATTAACCTAAAGAGATTCTGTACAGCAGAAGAGACTATCAGCAGAATAAACAGACAACCTACAGAATGGGAGAACATTTTTGCAACTATGCATCTGGCAAAGGTCTAATATCCAGCATCTATAAGGAACTTAAATTTACAACAACAACAAAAAAAAAACACATTAAAAAGTGGGCAAAGGACATGAACAGACACTTTTCAAAAGAAGACATACATGCAGCCAACAATCATATGAAAAAAATATTTTTTCTAAATTGTATTTTCCAAATTTACAAGCATATATGTTTTGTTTTTTTTTAAGAATAAGGGGGAAATATTAGAAAATGCAAGACTTGGAGGGAGGCGATTTTTCACCAAAGGACAATTACTAGACGGCTCTCATGACTGGCACTTCTGCTAGTTGGAGGCTTTGAGAGGAAGTTTCTCTCTGTAATTCTCCTAGGACCCACTGGGTTGTTTCCAGTGTTCGTATTTGTAGACAATGCTGGAACTAACATCTTGGTATTGAGGGCCTTTTTTTCCCCCATATTCCCGATTATTTTTGCAGAATCGTTTCCCAGAAGCAGTATTACTGGGTCAGTAGGTATGAATGTTTTTTTCACTAACGAGACATATTTCCAAATAGTTTCTCAGTGGGGCTGCACCAGTACACAACACTAACAGAAATACCTTGCCAGCACAGGGAATCTAATTGTCTTCAGGGTTTGCTTATTTCACAGGCAAACAATGGTACCTCATTATTTTGATTTGCATTTCCAACAAGGCTGAATAGTCTTTTTTATAAGTAGTTATTGCATTTTTTATTCCTGAATTTTGCCATTTATCTATTGGGCTTTTCATACTTTTCAGTTTGTACAAACTCTTGCCATACTAAAGAAAATAGCCCTTTATGGCCGGGCGCAGTGGCTCAAGCCTGTAATCCCAGCACTTTGGGAGGCTGAGACGGGCGGATCACGAGGTCAGGAGATCGAGACCATCCTGGCTAACACGGTGAAACCCCGTCTCTACTAAGAAATACAAAAAACTAGCCGGGTGAGGTGGCGGGCGCCTGTAGTCCCAGCTACTCGGGAGGCTGAGGCCGGAGAATGGCGTGAACCCGGGAGGCGGAACTTGCAGTGAGCTGAGATCCGGCCACTGCACTCCAGCCTGGGCGACAGAGCGAGACTCCGTCTCAAAAAAAAAAAAAAAAAAAAAAAAAAAGAAAATAGCCCTTTTTCTGTTGTACTAACCTAGCTATAGATATTTTCCCAAGGCTGTTGTTTCCCTTCTGGTTTAGTTTGTTTTTTTTTTTTCCTTTTATATTCAAAAGCTTTAAATTGTTATGTAGTGAAGTCTGTCACTTTTGTGGGTTTTTAAGAAATTTCTTCCAAGTTTAGAAAATTATCCACCCACCTCTCAAGCAGAAGCTTGATACATGCTCAGTTCTGTTTGCATCCAGATTTTTTTTCTTCAGGAGCATCCTGATTTTTTAAAGTTTTATTTTATTTTTCTTGCCCCTTTAACTCATCAGTAATTTATCATGCTACAGGGTTGTGGGATTTAAATTCATTTCTCTCAGTTTACTAAAGTTATCTCAATTATATGTTAAATAATCTTCCTCATTAATCTCTGATTCCCCCTTAGTCATAAGCTAATTTTTTATATAAAAGGTGAGGCCCATTTCTCACCCGTTTGTTCTGTTCCATCATGCATCTACTAATACCACACCTTTAAAAATGATTATTTATTTAAAATGTATCTGATAGGATATATTAGTCCATTTTCACACTGCTGATAAAGATATACTCAAGACTGGGCAATTTACAAAAGAAAGAGGCTTATTGGATTTACAGTTCCACGTGGCCAGGAAGGCCTCACAACCATGGCAGAAGGTGAAAGGCACATCTCACATGGCAGCAGTTGAGAGAAGAGAGCTTTTGTGGGGAAACTCATTTTTAAAACCATCAGATCTCCTGAGACTTATTCCCTATCATAAGAACAGCACAGGAGAGACCCGCCCCGATGATTCAGTTACCTCCCACCAGGTTCTTCCCATGACATGTGGGAATTGTGGGAGTTACAATTCAAGATGAGATTTGGGTGGAGACACAGAGCCAAACCATATCTTTCAATTCCCTCCCAAATCTCATGTCGTCACATTTCAAAACCAGTCATGCCTTCCCAACAGTCCCCCAAGGTCTTAACTCATTTCAGCATTAACTCAAAAGTCCACAGTCCTGTCTCATCTGAGACAAGGCAAGTCCCTTCTGCCTATGAGCCAGTAAAATCAAAAACAAGTTACTTCCTAGGTACAATGGGGGTACAGGCATTGGGTAAATACACCTGTTCCAAATGGGAGAAATTGACCAAAACAAAGGGGCTACAGGCCCCATGCAAGTCCAAAATCCATCAGGGCAGTCAAATCTTAAAGTTCCAAAATGATCTCCTTTGACTCCATGTCTCACATCCAGGTCACGCTGATGAAAGAGGTGAGCTCCCACGGTCTTGGGCAGCTCTGCCCCTGTGGCTTTGCAGGGTACAGCCTCTCTCCTGGCTGCTTTCATGGGCTGGCATTGAGTGTTTGTGGCTTTTTCCAGGCTCATGGTGCAAACTGTTGGTTGATCTACCATTCTGGGGTCTGGAGAACAGTGGCCCTCTTATCACAGCCCCACTAGGCAGTGCCCCAGTGGGGACTCTGGGGGTGGCTTTGACCCCACATTTCCCTTCTGCACTGCCCTAGCAGAGGTTCTCCATGAGAGTCCCGCCCCTGCATCAAACTTCTGCCTGGACATCCAGACGTTTCCATACATCCTCTGAAATAGGCAGAGGTTAGCAAACCTCAATTCTTGACTTCCATGCACCTACAGGCCCAACACCACGTGGAAGCTGTCAAGGCTTTGGGCTTGCACCTTTGAAACCATGGCCCAAGCTGTCCCTTGGCCCAAGCTGTCCCTTGGCCCCTCCTAGTCACAGCTGGAGCAGCTGGGACGCCGGTCACCAAGTGTGTAAACTGCACACAGCATGGGAATCCTGCCAAAGCTTGGGGACACAGCCAAACCATATCATAGGGCTTATCCTACCTCATTATATTTTAAGCTTATTGTCTGAAATTTTCTCTTTAATTCTCACCTGTTTGGATGTAAACAAAATCTTTTTGTTAGATAGACTTGGAGCTCCTTTGAAGACAGGAACCAAGTCTTTTACATGATTTTTTTTTTCCTAAAGTGGGCAGGGCTGTGCAAGCCTAGAACTTGTTCATTCACTGAACAAACTTATTTGTACATCCCTGCTTTCTACCAGGTATGGGAGGAGGGTGCAAAGAGGAAAGATGTGGACCCTGCCACAAAGGAGTTCGTGATAATGATGTTTTTCCTTAAGAGGTCCCCAAAAAGAAAAAGTGAGGGAGGCTTTGTTCATCCCTGCTGGACCTCACGTTTTAAGCAATAGGTAATGTGATTTTCCTCTGCCAGCGATGCAATAGTTAAATAGGAAGCCTCCCCAGCTGTGGCTTTATTGACAGGGCCTGCAACACAGGCCAGAACAGAAAGACTGACCTTTTCTGCTTACCCTAGAGTGCTGGGTTCACCTACATGTGTTATCTAGCAAAGTTTCCTAAAGCAGACCACTGTTGTCGGCATTGTGAAGATACTCAGAGGACAGCCTGTGCTCAGAAATAAATGAGTTCTCAATAAAACCTGCAGAATTGTTGGTAGCCTTGCGACTTGCTAGTTTTGTTTTGTCTGCGACCATATTTAGCTCTTACGTTGTAATATATACCAGCACTATCACGGGCTGTTCTCTGTTCGAACAATGAATTTGCTAATTAAAATTGGCCACCTTGTCAGTGACAATAAGCTAGTGAGTGATATGATTGTCCCAGGACTTGAAGAATTGTTTTATTATGGAACTATTAAGATATTAATAAAAAGTAGAGGGCATAGTATAATGAACACCCATATACACATGACCTAGATTTAACAGTTGTTAACATTTTATCACATATCTTCATCTCTTTTATTGTTGAAGTACTTTAAACTGTAAGCATCAAGACATTTCATATGTAAATACTTAGTATTCATCTAGAGAAAAATGACATTAAAAGGTTTTGGATCTTTTCAGTATGGATTGTGAAGTTTTCCATGGATTTCTTTTGTGGTATAGCCAAATTTCATTTGCCATTTTTGTATTAGTTTGTTTTTAATACATCATCATCAAACTAGGTTCAGTAGCTTAGATATTGGTTCAGATCTGACCTTGCCAAGGGCTGTTTACTGGAACATACATCCTTATATTCATTTAATAGCAAATAAAATTCTTCTGGATTTATACAGAATGTATGGGCCTAAAATGGATGCAAAATAAATAAAGGTGGGTTCTGAATACCAGCCATGAATGAAGTTAATAAAAGCCTTAATAACTATTCTTCGTGTTCAGTTTGCAGAGAAATTCCAGGAGGTGAAAGAAGCTGCCAAGATAGCCAAAGACAAGACGCAGGAGAAAATCGAGACCTCAAGTGATCATTCCCAAGTAAGACATTTGTCCATGAAGTAAATCTCAGTGGGGTTGGTGATGGGGACTCTTTGTTCCTTGTCACTTCTGGCCAGAAATAGGGAATTTTGACAGTAGGTCATTTTGAAGGCTTTTTCAATGATTAGCCTGATCACAGTGACATGTTTTTATGAGACTCTTGAATTTTTTAGGATGTGGTACTGTATTTCTGACAGAAAATGGTTGATGAGATTCGAGTTAATGCACATCCTGGCCCCGGAGAGACATTCTGTAGTCATTGTGTTTAAATGCCAGTGGCGAGACAGCATGTCTCCTGGCTGTGCTGGGAGGTGAGTTTCTATGTAGGGTACTTTGTGCCCACAAGAGAGAGACTTGATGTCAGATAGCCCTTGTGTTCATCTCCGGTTTTAACAGAGGTCAGGTGTAAGATGGTATTCCAACAGTTCTGTCTTAACAGAGGAGATCTGGCTTGACCAGGAATTGAATAGTCTGTCGAAAGTGTGATGATTGACTGAAAAGGACCTATTTTAACCTGAAATGAACACACCAGGTTCTCCAGACCCGCTTTCCTGATGTCTAGATTAGTATATGTGGTGGTGGGGGAAGTCTTGACCTAGTGACAGGGTTATATGTAGAAAGCCAGGGAAAGGGAGACTTCAGGAGAGAAGACTTAGGGGCAGGAGTAAGTGTGATGTACTAGCAAGGTAGCCGGGAGTCTGCCTGGTGGCAGCTGAGGCGTGCTGTGGGAGGCATGGGGGTGTGCTTGGAGAAACTGTGAAGACCTAGAATTCTTCATAAGTGGGTAATTTATTATTTATTAGCTATTTGTTTAATTATTCTTGGGTAGTTGGTGGACACTGGAAGTGTTTTGTGACTGTTGATTTGAATATCACCAGAGAGGGTCAGCTTGCTTGCAGATGGTAAGGCAGGCACGGAGGGACTGAGGGCAGAAAGATTGTTGAGGGGACTGTGAAGGAGAGAATGGCTGGGTCAGGAAAGCCCAGGGAGGGGGTCGCAAATGAGGACAGGGTGCAGGAAGAGAACCAGGAGGCCTGGGCATCTTGAGCAGTCAAGATCGATGCTCTAGACTTGACCATCAGCCTCACAGGGGCAGTAGCTGCAGCCTCAGGTACACAAAGAAGTAGTGGAGAGAGGAGGGCAGATGCTGGAGCCCTAGGAAATAGGCCCAGTTATGAAATGGGAGCCAGCAAAGAAGACAGGAAGGGAGAAATTCCAGCATCGCTGAACCCCAGGAGGGAGTACACCCAACACGTCGGTGCTCAGAGGAGGGAAGAGAATGCCGAGAGGGACCCTGGGTTTGTTAGCACTATGGCTGACCCTTGGGACAGGAGATTTGGTGGTTCAGGATGTTTCACAAAGGCAGAACCTATGTCTACCTTGAGTTATCTTTCCAATATCTTGTTCTGGCCTCATCATACAAAATATACCCACATGGACCTATGGAAATGCATGTGAATTCAATTTCAGGTAGACAGGAACTTTCCTGAATCTTTCTAAATAATCTAAGATCTAAGTGATATCATTAATTTTGTATGCTAATTACTTGATTAATCTCTGAGGATCTATGAAATTCAGCATCTGAAATGGTCCGTGATCTAGAAAGTTTCTAATATACTATCTTTTTCAGAATACCACATAGTACAGTGATATCTTTGAGTTTAATATCTGAATTTCTCTATATTTTGTTTTAATATTTGCTCCCTCTCAAAAGTTTGTTTTATTTATTTGAGACGGGGTCTTGCTATGCTTCCCAGTCTGGCCTCGAGCCCCTGGGCTCGAGTAGCCCTCCTGCCTTGACCTGCCAGGTAGCTGGGACTACAGGCATAAGCTAAGTATTTTAAATCTTAAAAATACATGTATACGTAATAAGATGTGTTTTTTTTTTTTTTTTTTTTGTTTTTTTTGGTTTTTTTTGAGACGGAGTCTCGCTCTGTCGCCCAGGCTGGAGTGCAGTGGCGTGATCTCGGCTCACTGCAAGCTCCGCCTCCCGGGTTCACACCATTCTCCCGCCTCAGCCTCCCAAGTAGCTGAGACTACAGGCGCCCGCCACCACGCCCGGCTAGTTTTTTGTATTTTTAGTAGAGACGGGGTTTCACCGTGTTAGCCAGGATAGTCTCGATCTCCTGACCTCGTGATCCACCCGCCTCGGCCTCCCAAAGTGCTGGGATTACAGGCTTGAGCCACCGCGCCCTGCCAATAAGATGTTATTTAATGTATATGCATTATTTAGGAATGACTTTTTGTTTCTAAGCTTTAGCTGTATTTACCCTTCCTGATATTTCCCCAGGTATAGAGGTTATTGTATGTATTTTTTTTAACGCTGGGTACAGTAGCTCACACCTGTAATCTCAGCGCTTTGGGAAGCTGAGGCCAGTGGACCTGAGCTCATGAGACTAGCCTGGGCAACATGGCGAAACCCCATCTCTATTTAAAGAAAAAAGGAAAGACTATTTTTTTGTTTTTTTGTTTGTTTATTTTTAAGACAGAGACTCACTCTGTTGCCCAGGCTGGAGTGCAGTGGCACGATCTCAGCTTGCTGCAACCTCTGCTTACTGCAACCTCTGCCTCCCAGGTTCAAGTGATTCTCCTGCCTCAGCCTCTCGAGTAGCTGGGATTACAGGCATGCGCCACCATGCCCGGATAATTTTTTTGTATTTAATAGAGACGGAGTTTCACCATGTTGGCCAGGCTGATCTCAAACTCCTGACCTCAGGTAATCTGCCTGCCTCAGCCTCCCATAGTGCTAGGATTACAGGCGTGAGCCACTGCACCCGGCCCTTGTATGCTTTTTAAAATTAGTAATCACACAATTACTTGGTTTCCTGAATCTCTTAGAATATGAACACTTTTAAGTTTTCCGAATAGTTGGATATTTAAACAGCCTAATTACAAAAACACTTAATGTGGGGCTGTTTTGTGACTATAAATGTAATACATGTTTATTGTATAAAGGAAAAATATACTATACTATAAAGAAGGAAATAAAAATCTTCTACCTTCTCACCACTTGAAGATATTTTGTTAGTGTTTTGGTGTGTATCTTTCTAACATAGATTTCCAGCATATATTTTATATTATCCCTTTCAACTTTATGTCATGATTATTCCTTTTCAAAACTGTTTTAATGACTGGACAGCATTCTAGTATTTGTATCACAGCTTATTCGGTTAACCTTCTATAATTCGGGACATCTGCATTTCTAATTTTTCACTAATATAAATAACACTGTGATGAACGTTCTTGCATATCTTTGTGCATTTGGTGGTTTCTGCATAGCTTCTTGAAATGGAGATATTGGGTTAAAGGTATGGATGTTTTTAAAGCTTTTGATGCATACCACAAACTTAGCCTGCAGAAAATACCATTCTAACTCCCACCTGCAGTGAATAAGGCTTTTTCTTCCCACACCCTCATTAGTAAAGCTTTGTTAATTTGACAGATGAAAAGTCCTTCCTTCCTCCCTTCCTTCCTTCCTCCCTCTTTCTCCCTTTCCCTCTCTTTCTCCCTTTCTCTCTCTTTCTCTCTTTCTCTTTCTCTCTCTTCTATTTTCTTTCTTTCTTTCTTTTTTGAGACAGAGTCTTGCTGTGTCGCCTAGGCTGGAATGCAGTGGTGTGATCTCGGCTCACTGCAACCGCCGCCACCCAGGTTCAAGGGATCCTCCCGCCTCAGCTTCCCCAATAGCTGGGATTACAGGCGCCTGCCACCACGCCTGGCTAATTTTTGTAATTTTAGTAGAGACACGGTTTCACCATATTGGCCAGGCTGGTCTTGAACTATTGACCTCAAGTGATCTGCCTACCTTGGCCTCCCAAAGTGCTGAGATTACAGGTGTGAGCCACCATGCCTGGCCTTAATTTTGTATTCCTTTACTAGTGAGATTAAATATTTTTTATGTTTATCGATTGTATGCTTTTCTTCTTTTGTAAATATCAATTACCTACCCCTTTTTTAAGGTGTTCATCTTTTGTGGTATTGATTTTCAAGAGCTTTATTTTTTAAACACAAAAAAATTTTGAACATATGCAAAGCTAGGCATGATTGTATAATGGACCTTCCTGTACCCATAGTTCAGCTTTAACAATTAGGAAATGATGACCAATTGTTTATGCACCCACTCGTTCCCCCCCCATATTTTAAAGCAAATCCCAGATGTTTAATTTCATCCATAAATATTTCAGCATGTAGCTCTAAAAGTTGAGGACTCTAAGAGCTTGTCAATATAGGAAAGATATTAACTTTTTTTTTCCTTTTTTTATTTTGAGACAGTTTCCCTCTTGTTGCCCAGGCTGGAGTGCAGTGGCACAATCTCGGCTCACTGCAACCTCTGCCTCCTGAGTCCTGCCTCAGCCTCACAAGTAGCTGTGATTACAGGCACACACCACCATGCCTGGCCAATTTTTATATTTTTAGTAGAGATGGAGTTTCACTATGTTGGCCAGGCTGGTGTCAAACTCCTGGCCTCAGGAGATCTGCCTGCCTCAGCCTCCCAAAGTGCTGGGATTACAGGCGTGAGCCACTGCGCCCAGCCAACATTTTGTTTTTCCTATGTGCTGCTGCATATATAGGGTTTTTGTTTCATATTCATTTTGTTTATGGCATTTTTTTTTGAAATTCAGAAATTGAAACTTGGATTTATACACCATTCTCGTCTAGTTCCTTCCTTTGCCCATGTGCTTATTTGAGGCTAAATAACATCTTTCTAAGGTCTTATCTAGCACCAAATGATATTCCACCTCTACGTGGTATGACTTACGGAAAACACTTGAGCATATTCATAACAACACTTAGTAAGGGAGCTGGAAAACTTCAGGACCTGGTTCTTGTTTCTTTAATAAATGTGTTGATCTAACTCTCCATAGCCCCAAGATATTTAAGTTGTCTCCATTTCTAATATGTGCTTTTTCATTCCGTGTTTCTAACAGTCCCTCCTCCCTTGTGGCTTCTGCCCTGTGGTATTTCGGGAGACCAGGTCTCCAAGTTTGGTAGGTTTCTCCATAAGGCTTAAGTAAAAAGGCTCTGAGCACTGGCCCAGGTGTTCCCTTGTCAGTAAAGCACACAGACTTTGTGAACTCCATATGGTCTCTTCAGTGCCTTTTTCTGTGGTCTTGATAGTCTTTGTTAGGTTTTGTTTTCTTTTTTTGTTTGTTTGTTTTCTTTTTGTTTTTAAACTTGTTAGTCTTTGCTGCATTCTGGTTGGATGAGTTGGTTCATCCACACTCGTAAACAGTTTCTTATTATGCCTAACTTGCTGCCGATATGCGGGCAAGCAATAACGTGTGAAGATAATTCACTTTGGCCAGGAATCTGGGCGTGAAACCCCATCTTCTACTCAGGCATCCAGTGTCAATGGGACGGACGATGAAAAGGCCTCTCACACCGGTCCCGCCAACACGCACCTGAAGTCTGAGAATGATAAGCTGAAGATTGCCTTGACGCAGAGGTAAGGCTGTTTTAAAGTCCAGATCCTATTTTCTCCACCTTCAACACTTCCCTGGAAGCCTTTCTTGCTGGACAGGGTTTCAGGAAATTGAGAGAGAAAACTGGGACCTGCTTGGAGCATCCACTCTTGTCTCCGGGTGAAAGGAAGGCCAGCTGGCTTTATGGCCCTGCTCTGGCCAACCACATCAGCATCCATTTGTGTGTGTGTGGGAAAGAGAGAGTGTGTGTGTGAGAGAGAGATTGTGTGTATGTAAATGTGTGGAGAGAGGGCGAATATGCATGGTGGTAGTGTCAGAGTGTGTATGTTAGAGTGTGTGTGATTGTGTGAGTGTACATGTGTAGAGAGAGGGTGTGTGTGTGTGTGTGTGGATGCACCCCTTTGCTTGTGCTTTGTTTTGTTTTTGAGGAACCAAATTTGTCATTTATGTATCTATAAGATTGACTCTTGGCCAGGCATGGTGGCTCCTGCCTATAATCCCAACAGTTTGGGAGGCCAGGGCAGGCAGATCACTTGAGCCTAGAGTTTGAGACCAGCCTGGGTAACATGATGAAACCCTGTCTCTAGAAAAAATATTTTAAAAACTAGCCAGCTATGGTGGTGTTTACCTGTAGACCCAGCTACTCTAGAGGCTCAGTTGGGAGAATTGCTTGAGCCTGGGAGGTGGCAGAGGTTGCAGTGAGCTGATATTGCACCACCGCACTCCAGCCTGGGTGACAGGGTGAGACTCTTGTCTCAAAAAAAAAAAAAAAAATTTTTGAACGTCTGAGAAATGCATATGAAAACATAAACTATTAAAAATATGAAATCACACAAAACTTAGTCACCTATATACAAAAAAGTCATGTGGAATATATATTTGAAGAAGAGATCCTTTATAATATGAACTAGAACCATAAACTCTATAGAAATAAACTTAAATATATAAGATCTATGTGAAGCAAACTTTAAAATGATTTCAGTGTTTATAAAATAATTGTTTAATAAGTAGACATTCTGTTGGGAAGTGGCAAAAAGCCTTGATATTTTCAAAGTATCAATTTCTCCTAAATTGATATATAAATGTAACACAATCCCTATAATGATATCAGTAAGATTTTAATTTACTGTATGAGCGGTGCTTATGATTTTGTATCTTGAGAATGTGGAGCATTCCACACAGGCTGGGCTGAACTTCATGGTGTAGGGCGGTCCCATGAGCACACCCAGGGCTTTCTGCTCACCTGGCCAGCACGGTGGCACATGCCTGTAATCCCAATGCTTTGGGAGGCTGAGGTGGGCGGATCACTTGAGGTCAGGAGTTTGAGACCAGCCTGAGCCACATGGTGAAACCCCATCTCTACTAAAAATACAAAAATTAACCGGGCACGGTGGTGCATGCCTGTAAGCCCAGCTACTCAGGAGGCTGAGACAGGAGAATTACTTGAACCCGGGAGGCGGAGGTTGCAGTGAGCCAAGATCATGCCACTGCACTTCAGCCTGGTTGACAGAGCAAGAATCTGTCTCAAAAAAAAAAAAAAAAAATGCTGTATCATCTTAGAAGCAGTCTTTGCTCAGGCTGCTATAACAAAATACTATGAACTGGGTGGCTTAATTAAACAACAAATCTTTATTTCTCACAGTTCTAGGGGCTAGAAAGTCCAAGATTAAGGCACTAGCAGATCTGGTGTCTGGTGAGGGCCTACTTCCTAGTTCATAGACCACAGTCTTCTCCCTGTGTCTTCAGAGGTGGGGAGAGGAGGTGAGCTCTCTGAGGACTCTTGTAAAGACCTGGATCCCATTCATAAGGACTCCATCCTTATGCCCTCACCTAATCCTAATTACCTCTCAACTTCGCCCCACCAGCCCCTCAGCCGCCCCACCTCCCCACCCCCATCTTCTAAGACCATCACATTAGAGGTAGGGTTTCAACATATGAATTTAGGGAGGTCTCAAGCATTCAGTCCATAAGAGAAGCTGTCATTTTGAAATTCCCCCCATTTTACAGTTGAGGAAACTGAATTCCAGGTGACAAAGTGACTCCTTGCCCAAGGTCACATAGCTAGTAAACTTTCCATCACCTCAGAGGGCCCGTGTTCCACTCAAGGCTGCACTCACAGTCTCTTCAGGAGTCTACCAGAGGCAGCCTGTCCCCTTCCCCAGCTAGAGCTGCCACAGGGTTGGCACCCACCTCTCCCACTCAGCTCGCCCAGCTGTGATCTGACCTAGGAATTCCAGAAAGCACATGTGACCCTTAGATCCAACCACCTCCCTTTGGACTGTGGCTCTTTGTCAGGTACTTCAAAGGGCAGAACCACAATTGGTCTCTTTTCTTACTCATCAGGCAATTGTGAGAGCTAGATTTGTTTATTTATTTATTTGTTTATTTGTTTGGTTTTTTTATTTTTTTGAGGCAGAGTCTCCGTCACCCCAGCTGTAGTGCAGTGGTGTGATCATAGCTTACTGCAGCCTTGAACTCCTGGGCTTGAGTGATCCCCCTGCCTCAGCCTCCCAAGTAGCTGGGACTACAGGTGCCCGCCACCATGCCCAGCTAATTTTTTTGTATTTTTAGTAGAGGTGGGTTTTCACCATGTTGACCAGGATGGTCTCGATCTCTTGACCTCATGATCCGCCCGCCTCAGCCTCCCAAAGTGCTGGGATTACAGGTGTGAGCCACTGCGCCTGGCCCCAGAATTGTGTTCTCTTCTAAGGTGATTTAAGAAAATAGACCACAGGATGACATGTCCACACCAGAGAGAGGAGCCAGTCCCTCCTGGACCTGGAACAGGGCAGCCACACCCACCTGCCAGCTCACTGTGGGGAGAGGGCGTGGGCCCCCCAAGGGTGTGCTGAGGGGTGGCGGAGTCGCCTTCCCCAGGTGGGCGGAGGCGCAGCCAGACGGGACAGCACCCACCCTGTCGTCACTGCCCGTCCCCATCCTGCAGCGCTGCCAACGTGAAGAAATGGGAGATCGAGCTGCAGACCCTGCGGGAGAGCAATGCCCGGCTGACCACAGCACTGCAGGAGTCGGCAGCCAGTGTGGAGCAGTGGAAGAGGCAGTTCTCCATCTGCCGCGACGAGAACGATCGGCTCCGCAACAAGGTAGGTGCGGTGGGCACAGTGAGCCCCGAGGCTAGCTGGCGTGGGCAGCAGGAGATGAGGGCACCCACAACCCTTTTTCTCCACCCCCAACTTTGCCCTTAGCCCCATGGCTGGAGGAAGACTTGCTGCCTCTCCCACGGGAACATCCCTCCCCTTCCCTGCCTTTCTTAGTAGGAATTTAATCACATACATAATTGACCTTTTCTGTTTTTATTTTCTTTCTTTTCTTTTTTTTTTTTTTTTGAGATGGAGTCTCGCTCTGTCATGCAGGCTGGAGTGCAGTGGTGTGATCTCAGCTCACTACAGCCTCCTGTCTCCCAGGTTCAAGCAATTCTCCTGCCTCAGCCTCCCAAGTAGGTGGGGATTACAGGCGCCTGCCACCATGCCTGGCTAATTTTTGTATTTTTAGTAGAGACAGGGTTTCACCATGTTGACCAGGCTGGTCCCAAACTCCTGGCCTCAGGTGATCCACCTGCCTCAGCCTCTCAAAGTGCTGGGATTACAGGCGTGAACCACTGTGCCTGGCCAGACTCGTTACCTTTTCTGAACCAAGTTTTATAATTCCCCTTACTGAGGAGAAGATAAACTGGAGGTGTCAGCCTTGTCCCTCCCAGAGTTCCCTCCCTCAGCATTTCTGTGGTTCACTGACCCTCCATGGAGGAAGGGGACCCAGAGGGTAGGTGAGAAACAGACTTGGGAGATGGTGAGCTGCGCCTGCTTGGAAGTCCTGCTTCCATTCACATTATTATTTCTAAACATGTAAATTTGGAGTTGGGAAAAGGATTGTGGTGCTTGAGGCATGAGGAGGGTGGACAGGTGCTGACCTGTCGTATGCCCTCTACTCTCCGATCCTGGCATTTTTATTTGTTTGAAAATGCACCTGTAACCTTCCCTGTCATTAGTCACACTCCAGTTCATATGGTGCTTTTGGGGTGGCCAGAGATCCCCCATTGAGGTCTTGAGGTTTCTCTGCTAACCTCGTTTTGATGGTGATTAATCCTTCTGCTATAAACACATAGGCTTTGGAGTATGCTCCATCAGTGCAGGGTTTTAGGGGGACAGGTCCCATTTAGATTGGTGTTCACTTCCCCTTGACCCCTTTTATGCCCTGCCCTGCCCAAGCTGGAGGGCCCCTGCATCCCAGCCCTTGAGCACACTGTCTTACTTTCATGCTAATGCCACATAAAAGTGTCTCGTGTCATTTTTTCATCTTGGTGCTGAAAGTGCTGACGGTTGGGCACCAGGCCAATTGCTGACTTTGCACGTTCCCACCCCAGGCCTGGCAGATCTGCCTGCCAGAGGGATCGATTGCCCTTTCTTGCATTTTCAAGAAAAGCTGAGTTTCTCACTTTGGTCTCAGTCTGATAGCCAGCAGCAGTGCGGGGGGAGTGGAGGAAGATCATCACACACAACTCGCTCCCTTGGAGGAGTGTCGACCTCCCTGGGTGGGACATGTCACCAGCTTGCCTCCCAGGGTTGGAGGCGGAAGTTGGTGTGGTCTCCAGCGGCAGCAGGGGCTGGGAGTTCAGACCCCAAGGCTTGGTGCAGGCTGCCTCTGGGAAGTGTCCTGGGTGCCCTTCATATCAAGGACTACTGCTGCCCGTGCGGGGGAACTTCATCACTACAGTGCTTTTGTGTTGCATGGGGGGTCCACGCCTGCTATCCACTCTGCACACACATTTTGGCCCCCAGCATCCAATGGCAGTGTGAGAGTGCCAGGCCCTTGCACCCCTGTTCCACACAGGTAACCGTTTTGAGGGGTCAGCCTTGGGAAGGACGGAAAGATGCAATCTGGGGATTTGCCGTTCAGCCTCAGGGAAGAGGCCCACAGGCCAGACCCGTTCCATGTGCATCCCCAGGGGAAGGTCACCTTGATTTATAATGTTCGAAATGTCATTGCTTCCCTTTTTGGCAGCCGCTGTACCATGAGTTGCTTGGTTTTCTACCCTGCTGGCTTAAACCATTGAGATGAAACAGAATAATGCAGGACATGATTACAGTGGTGTAACAATCATTCTGGGGAAAAGCACATCAATCCAGGGACACCTGGCCCTTGCTTGTGATGGATCCTTAAAGCAAATCTGAATCTACTTCCTCACAGCCATGAGAGGAAACCAGAAGCCCAGAGCATCTTGAAGGCGGGTTTTTTTACTTATTTGGCTCTGCCGATAAGATGCCTCTGTAAGGCATCATGTGCAAAGCAGGTCCCATGCAAGCGGTGCAGGCAGCCCCATGATGGAGCTGCATGGGGTTTGTTCATAGCCACAAAGAAAAACTCATAAGTGGATTAGGTTAGGGTTTATTTTAAAAGAAAACAGAAGTGTAGCTGTGGTGATCTCTTGCTTAATGACTAACGTAAGATGGCGCCCCTGCTTTCCTGCATGGTGTGTACTGAAGATTGATGAGCTGGAAGAACAATGCAGTGAGATCAACAGAGAGAAGGAGAAGAACACACAACTGAAGAGGAGGATCGAGGAGCTGGAGGCAGAGCTCCGAGAAAAGGAGACAGTGAGTAATGGTGCTCCGAGCAGGGCCCCTTGGTGTCCTCTTGGCCTTGCGGGGTGGCACACAGCAGGTGTGCTGGGGCATATGACTGGCCCTGGCAGCTGCCTGGATAGCAGCATGGAGAGAGAGCTGGGAGCCACACCAGGGTGCGGACAGGCCGGAGCAAAGGCCTCCCCATGACCTCTGCCGCCTCCCTGTCATCCCTATTCTATAGCCGGTCATGCAGATTCACAAGGGAGTTGAACATTTCACAAGACACTCAGACACGCTTGTCATCTGTCCTCAGAAGTTGAGTTTTGCTGCCAAATGAATGCCGCTAGAGAACCATGATGTAATCACTTATTTTTTTTTTTTTAATTTAAATTTATTTATTTTATTTAAGATGGAGTCTCATTATGTTGCCCAGGCTGGTCTTGAACTGGGCTCAAGCAATCTGCCCACCTCAGCCTCCTGTGTAACTGGGACTATAGACACACGCCACCATGCCTGGCCTACAGTCATTTATTTTCTAGGGGTCAGACAGTTAAGTGTGCACATGTTGGAGGCTGTGCGCACGTTACCAAACTCTCTAGACCTCACTTTCTCCACTTGTAAAACAGAAATCGGAAAAACATCTGCCTTGTTGTGCTGTGTACAGACTTCACATGACAAGGTGTGTGACACACTTCGCCCATGGAATTCCCTGAGTTGAAGTATTCACGTGGTCGCTATCACTGTCTATGCAAACAGAACAGGTTCCCGAAGCGGCTTCCACGAGTGTGCACACATTGGTGATTTTCAAGAATATATTTTATCTGACTTGCTTTCATGTTCTATCTCAATTTTTTTTCATGTAGGAGCTGAAAGATCTCCGAAAACAAAGTGAAATCATACCTCAGCTCATGTCAGAGTGCGAATATGTCTCTGAGAAGCTAGAGGTACGTGGGTGGGGGGCACAGCCATCCTGGCTCAGACGAGAAGGCACAAATGTCATGGTACTCATTTTCCTGCTTCCCATCACTTTCACACTGAGAATGCTGAAGGAGAGATTTTCTATTCACAAAAAGCTGGCGGTAACTGCAGGCCAGATGGTACCGCATCCACACCTGCCCTTGGGGCAGACTCGGCAGCATTTGTCTTTTGGTTTTTCCAGTTCTGTGAAGGTTCCTGTGCATCACCACAGTGTAGACGACTGTTTCCTTGCAGAACCCCGGTGGGAGTGAGGAGCGGGGGTGGTGGCCTGAGAGCCCAGGGTCAGGGTGTGGGGCCACCTCAGCCACTCCCCTGCCAGTGACCTTGGGCACTGACCTTGGGCAGGCCTTCCTCCCTAGGCTCAGATTTCTGATCACTAAAATGAGGATTTTCAGGGCCTCCTCCCCCTCGGAGGTCCTCCTCCCTGCAGGCCCTCTGATACAAACACGGCGCTTCATATAGTTACACGACCCTGGAATTGGTAACTGGTTCCTGTGCACATGTTCAGAAAAGTCTCTGTTTATGCCCTCAACATAAAGCTCTTATCTGATATGAAGAATGCAAGGCTTATGGCTCATTTAAGGACTCACAGCTGTCTTGTCTTTGGGAACCTGCATGTGATTCACCTAGATGTGTCTCTATAGGCTTGTGGGGCCCAGCGCCACAGACCATCTCCATGGTAACAGCATCAGAGGGTGCACAGACTGGCTGTCCCTGAGTCAATGGCATGGCCAGTCCTTCCTCACCGAGGGCCAGAGGCTGGCCTGGGACTGAGGAGGCCACGCCTCTCTGTGGGACCAGGGGAATGAGCCACTCTCCCATCTGTTCTGTCTCTCAGGATGGAACTGAAATGTGGTCTCTGCTAGCCACTCAGACGGGGATTTCAGACTTTCCCTGCTGGGCCCTGTGTGAGGTCTCCCTCAGGCAGGACTCTGCGTTCTGCCTGCTTTGTTGGGTCTTGGGTTTTCGGGCCGGGTGTCGGTCCCTCAGTGGGAGAACAGGCAGGAAAGGAGGAAGTCACTGAAGTGCCTGCCGCTTCCCTTCTGATGTCTTGGTCACAGGCTTGTGTGCTGGGGTAGCATGTCTCTAGGGAGCTTAGTCCCTTGCCCAGGCCCTCAGGTTGGATGGAGAATGGTTGGTTCAGCTGTAGCAGGTTTTGAAGGACGACTCTCATCACTCAATTTTCCAGACCCTTCTCCCTTTTGCTTTGCCAGGCGGCAGAGAGAGACAATCAAAACCTGGAAGACAAAGTGCGTTCCTTAAAGACAGACATTGAGGAGAGCAAATACCGACAGCGCCACCTGAAGGTGGAGTTGAAGAGCTTCCTGGAGGTGCTGGATGGGAAGATTGACGACCTGCATGACTTCCGCCGAGGCCTCTCCAAGCTGGGCACCGATAACTAGGGCTGGCCAAGGCCCAGGCCCCGCCTGTGAGTCCCAAGCGTGTGTGCGAGACCAGATAGCTCTAGGACGTTCTTCTGTGTGCGTTGCTTCTGTAAATGCAGGCGCAGTTTGTTGTGTTTCCAAACCAGTTGTGCCGTCCACTCCTTTCCAGAATAGAAATCTCCTCTCACTTCTCTGGCCTTGTGAGGTTGTGGACAACTGGAAGATTCTGACTCAGGAATCCAGAACTAGGTCTACCTTCAACATTTACGCAGTCAGGGCAGGGATGTTTATATCTTTCATAAGGGCTGTTGCAACCATATGAACTGAAAAAATGCATTTTCTAATCCAAATATTGATATTCTTTACACCAGGCCATCAGGCTCCTTTTATCAAATAGCATTCAGAGTATTTGAATGTCCATCAGGCACCAGCCCCGGGGGGCACAGAGAGAACAACATTCCTCTCCATCAACATTGAGAGGCTTTATTTAAAACAACTGTTTAGTGGAAACTTATTGAGAGATGGAAAACAAGCTTCTGGTGGGTGCATTTTCTGACCCGGGAGTCGCCTGCAGCCACAATACTGCCCCTGCCCCCCAGTTTGTATGGTTGCGACAGTGTTCCTTTTCTTGGTTTTAATTTCTGAGCAGATGATTGTGCTGTGGGAACAGCACACAGTGAGGGTGCCTAGCACAATGCCTGGCACTAAGTAGGTGCTTAATAAATGTTTGTTCTACTAAATGTGTACACAGAATTTAGTGTTTTAATCAAACCCCACAGCAGAGCTGGGACCCTGTTGAATGATGCACCATCTTTGCTGTGCTGGGTAGTTATCAGACATGACTGTCCAGTCAAACCCAAGCTGGGGCTTGGGTGACCCTGGGGCAGGGAGGGAGAAGGGGAAGCTGCAGGAGCTGGTCTCAGGCCCCTGGAGCCCATCCGTGATGCTCTGCCCCTGGGGCTCTCCGACTCTCGAATCACCTTCTCCCCTAGGAATGGTGACCCAGGGATTCCAGGTATAGGGGCTGCCCAGGGCTTGGGACCTAGGGTGGGATTCTTTTAAGGGTCTGGACAATTGAGAAGAAATCGCAGGCAATCGGGGGGAGAGAGCAGCTCAGCTGACAAGCCGTGTGTCCCTCATGACAGAGGTGTTCCACCCGGCTCTGCCTCCTGCCTTTCTTGGTTTCTCCTAGGGAAGGAACTGCAGCCATAAACCTCTCCTCTCTCACAGAGCTGCTCAGTGGGGCCAGCGGGCTGTGGGTGCTGTTGGCATCCTGCCCTGGGAGATTGCCGGTGTGTGGCAAGATGTTTTGAATCCCTGGCCCCACACATCTCTATATGCCTTAGGCAGGGGGGAGGCTTTGGTGCCCCCTTACCCCTTTGAGAACCACCTAAGAGGACTACTCCTTCTAGAAACCTTCTCCCATGGACACAGTTAGAGTTTCTCCCTGCTGAATTTGGATTAATGAACAAACAACCCGAGGAGGGAGGGAGATGGGGTCTGCACACAGGTGCCCCGGGCCCCAAGGTGAACACATGAGTCCTCCTGCTTTCCTTCCCTTTCCCTCACTGAGACGCCTCTCTGAGCCGGGGAGTCTTGTTTGGGATGCGGACAGAAGGGAAGGCTGGGGATCTGGAGCACCAAGGCACTTTTAGAGGAGCCCCCGCAGGGTAAGTGGGGGCTTTGGTTGAGTACACAGGGCTCTTGGCAGACAGGAAGTGGAAAGTGTGGCCAGCCCTGTTTGTGATTCGGGGTAGTCTGCTGCTGGCCCTGCCCTTTCTCCAGAGCTCCAGATGGCTCTCAGGACAGTTGGTAGCACTTCCCTACTGGCTGCACTAGGAGACCAGAGAGCCGAGCTGGCTGAGAGTCAGCCCCGTGGCCCAGCAGCAGGATGAGGGGATTCTCAAGCCAGCCTGGTCCGCTTAGCAGCAGGCTGGGTGTGTGGCTGTGCGGAAGTGGTGGGCACTAGGTTCTAAACACCCTCCACTTGGGTCTTCAGATGACCTCTGCCTCTATCAGGTGACTTATGAATCTAGAAAGAGCCCTCTTGACTGACAAGAGAATGCTCAGGTGACACGTGCACAGAGTAGTTACCAAAGCCACTTGTGCATTCTGATAGCAGTGACTTTAGAAAACTCCGGAAGTGGAGGTGTAGAAAATGTTGGAAGAGCCATTTCCACAGTGGGCTGCTGTGCAGTCGAGACCCATGATCCCAGCTCACCAACCACTGAAGAGTGTGGTGAGCATCCTGTGGGCAGCAGGTAAGGAACTTGGATTCCTCCTGCTGTGTGTCCAGCTCTACAGCTGTTGCAGCCCCGGAGCTAAGAGTAGTAGGCACTCCCTTAAAGGGAAAGGTAAGTTGGGCTTGGCTGTGAAAGCACAACAGCTTTTACAAAAGCACTGAACTTTTACATTCCTTCTGCTTTTCTCTGAAGATCTTAGTGTCTCTTCATTTACTTTCTTTTAAAATAATGGCCCTGGAGCAACCTGGACGGTGCTCCCTTGAGCTGGTGTGACGTGCCCTCGTTTATTCAGACATGCAGCTCAGTCTCAGTACTGTTGTCATAACCTTACACCAGAAGCAGGCAGAACGTAAGCCATTCACTCCGTGAGCATCGCAGCCGCTTGTGCTGCCTGGAAGGTGCAGGGCCAGGACTGCATTTTCAGTTTGCAAATGAGGTCTCCTGATTTTGACATTTCCAAGACTGGCTGCTATACCTTGATACGCTTTCCTTCTGCCTCCATGAAACCTGGTGTCTAAAAGAGATCGACTAAAACTTGGAACCCTTCAACCAAGAGGACATTTAAAAATAACCTTTCATTCCAGTCAAGACCCAGCTGGATGCATTTTAAAGTTGGGAGTGGTGAGGAAGCCTTCCTAGTGCTGCCTGGGGAATGTAAAACCAACAGAGCGACAGGTTGGGACAGTGTGGTCAGGCCTTGGAGGGAAAGAGAACCAGTATCCACACAAGACATCGAACTTGTGTGGCCCCTCAGTTTCATCTCTCCTGCCTGCCATCACATTAGACTTTAATTGGGTAAGAGAACAGGGCAGAGCCTGTCACCTGCATTTTGCAGACGGGAAGTAGAGACAGAGAAAGTGACACGCCCAGGGTCACCCAGTGGTGACCAGCAGCGTGGACTCTGCATTCGGGTCTCCCAGACCTTGATGCAGTATCTTTTGAGCCATGCCACTCTAGTCCCTTTGGTGACCCGTGGGTGCCAAGAGAAAATAATTCTCTTATATCTTGATAAGAGCATATTACAATTATATTATTTTAATATGTGTCCACAGCAAAGGACAGTTTACAAAGATGTGAATCTGAATGACATCTAGGAATGTTCATTATAAACAATAAGTTCAACTTTCAAATGATTCTGGTTTTGTAGGAATCTTTCCAAGAAAGTTGGTTAAAATGATGTGTCTGCCTGTGAGGCCAGTTCCATGGAAAACAAACACACCCCGAGTTCTTTATTGATGGCTTTAGTGGAGGCAGAGCAGTACGTTCAAAACAAGTGGGAGGCCCTGAGATCGCAGGAATGGAAACAGAGTTCTGGCTGGGGGTGGCCTGTCCACTGCCCACCCCTTCCCGGAGATGCACTCCTTTCTGGCTTTCTGGGGAGGGAGCAACCTTGCTCAGTGGTGGGAGCAGCTTGAATGGGACCTAATCAACACCCAGGAAGACTGTGCACAGAGGGCAGTTGGTCTCTAGCCTTCATGGTGGTGGTGGGCAGGCGCCTGCCTGATGTAGACTACATTTGATGCAAAACATCAAGTAAAGGGTGGAGCATAATACAGTGAATATGCCTCCCAGAAACATCATCCTCTGCCCATTTTAACAGGGCTCTTTATCTTTAGAAAAGTCTCCTTCTCTATAGAAACCAGGGACAATTTTGGATGAGAGCCAACCACAGGACATGCTGGGGACCTTATGGGGGGACCTCACGTGTGGCCAGGTGCACCTTTGGGAAGAAGGCAGATGTGATGTGACTTAGCACAGGCACTCGAAAGAGGGAGCCAGCCACTGGTCTTTGCTAATATCCAGAAGCGGATTGTTTGTTCCATTCATCTTTCTAGAAGTTAAATTATTTCATTGCCTTGAGACGTCACTAGATCTTGAAGCACTTGCAAACTAGAAGCTTGCAAGATCAATGTCCATATATATTTTTAAATGATACGCATGGTTTAAAAGGACCCTAATTTCTGAGTACATGGCTTCCCCAAAGAAACAGTATATATTCTGGAGATGATGGGGGTTTCGGCATGGAGAGGGACTCCTGTCTAGTCTAGAAATGTGTGTTACTTACATGTCTCTTCCATGTACCTATCTCAAGAATATTTCTAGTTTGGCTTTAAACACTACCCAGGCAGGAAGGTGGCTTTGGTAAGAATTTTGAAGTGGATGAAATGTTCTAGTGAACTTAGGACAGCGTGCGTGTGCTTGTGTGTGTGTGTGTGTGTGTGTGTGTGTGTGAAGAAATAGCAAAAGGGGAAGTGGGAGAAACAGTAAGGAAGAGTTTTCAATTAAAAATATATATGTCTAAGAGGAGACTTTATTTTCTGTTTCTGGTGGTCATGTTCTATGTTCTAGAATCCATTTCCCAGAAGAAGAGTTTGTAGGTCTTTGGTTTGAAGTGGAATTGTGCAGTGCCCTACTCTCTTTGACAGTGCACAGTCTTGCGGCAAAGTGGTCTCCCAGGCCCCAGAGACCCCCCGGGCACCTGGCAGGAGCCGACAAACCACGGCAGAGTCCCAAGTGGTGTGTGTTTTGGCGAGTGATGGGCAGGACTGATGATTCACAGCTGTGGGGCTGTGCTATTGTTTTTACCCTCTTGTACTGCTTCTAATAAAAGTCTCGACTTTACATCAGTTGTGAGAGCAGCGTCTTACGATGTGACAGGCAAGAAGACATTCCCCGCATCAAATGTAAGAGTTTAATGATAAGAGTGGAGTGGATAAGTGAATTCTCCCAAGAGTACTGTTTTTTGTTTCCCTTTTAAAATGCTTTTGTGGTACATAAATAATATAATACTTTTTTTAAAGAAATTCCAGATGAGTAAAAAAAAAAAATCACCTGTTATTATACCATCTGATTATAACCACTGTTAACATTTCCGTTTTTATCTTTTCAGACTTTTTTCTATGCATATGTGTGTTTTATTACTTTTTCCATGAAATATAATCATGTTATACATACTGTTTTATAACTTTTATCCCTTTTAATGCTATATTGTGAATGGATTTCTGTATCAGTAAATATGTAATTACATTATTTTTAACCTCTATGTAGGCTGTACCTTGGATACTTAAGTTGTTTCAATTTTTTACTGTTGTAGTCAAGGACATAATGAAGTTCTTCTAACATCCTTGTGAAGCTTTCAGAATATTTACTTAGGATAATTTTCTGAAGTTATTACTGGCTCAAAAGTACACGCTTCCCTATCTGTGGCTCCTTTCCTTCTGAGGCATATGGGACTTTACCCTCCAACCCCCTTGTACTCATTCAGGGTCCTATGACTAATTCTGGCCAATGAAATGTGAGCAGAGGTGAGATATGAAGCTCCAGGCAGAGACTGAAATGCCCATGGGCAGTTCCGCAGTGTCTGTCTTCCCTTCCCTGATGTCCCAAGGACAGAGCCTCTGTCAAGCCTGGATCCCTGAGTAACTACATGGAACAGCCCCCTTCTCCCCTCATGTTACCCTCACCTGCCACCCTGCATGGACGTGTAGCATGAATAAAAAAAAATAAACCTTAGGTGTTAACCACTGGAATTTCAGGGTTAATTGGTTAACTGCAGCATAACATATCCTGTCCCAACAATTAAAAAGTATGCACATTTTTAGGACTTTTAATATGTGTTGCCTCAAATTGCTTCCAGAAAGACAGTCCCAAAGTATACTCCCACCTGCAGTGTGTGAGTGTGTACTGCTTCCTCTTTAACACCGGAGTTACCCTGGGGACAAAGAGCTTAAAAAAAATGTTTTTTTTTGTTAAAATGTGACCCTTTAAGATGTTCACCAGTATCATTGATTTCTAAGAGGTTTATTTCATAAACATTGTAAAACAAGATTTTAAGTTGCATGTATGGCTTTTTTAAAACGTTTGACACTGCCGGGCGCGGTGGCTCAAGCCTGTAATCCCAGCACTTTGGGAGGCCGAGATGGGCGGATCACAAGGTCACAAGATCAAGACCATCCTGGCTAACCTGGTGAAACCCCGTCTTTACTAAAAAATACAAAAAAAAAAAACTAGCCGGGCGAGGTGGCGGACGCCTGTAGTCCCAACTACTCGGGAGGCTGAGGCAGGAGAATGGTGTAAGCCTGGGAGGCAGAGCTTGCAGTGAGCTGAGATTGGGCCACTGCACTCCAGCCTGGGCGACAGAGCGAGACTCCGTCTCAAAAAAAATAAATAAAACGTTTGACATAAAAAAAACACCTTTTAGTCAAGTTTATCTGTTACTTTTTTTTTTTTTTTTAATGGTTGCTACCTATGCTGTCGTGCTTATGCAGATCTTTCCAATTCTTTTTTTTTTTTTTTTTTTTGAGATGGTCCACCCTGTCCCCCAGGCTGGAGTGCAGTGGCGTGAGCTCAGCTCACTGCAACCTGCGCCTCCCGGGTTTAGCGATTCTCGTGTCTCAACCTCCCGAGTAGCTGGGACTACAAGTGCATGCCACCATGCCTGGGTAACTTTTTGTATTTTTAGTAGAGATGGGTTTCGCCATGTTGCCCAGGCTGGTCTCAAACTCCTGAGCTCAGGCAATCCACACGCCTCAGCTTCCCAAAGTGCTGGGATTACAGGTGTGAGCCACCAAGCCCGGCGAGGTCTTTCCAATTCTGATTGCAAGGTTGTATAAATATCCACCACTATCTTATTCTTGTACTTTTATTATTTCTTTCTAAACAGTTAATTCTCTGATCTGGCTGGGCGTGGTGGCTCACACCTGTAATCCCGGCACTTTGGGAGGTCAAGGTGGATGGATCATCTGAGGTCAAGAGTTCAAGACCAGCCTGGACAACATGGCAAAACCCCATCTCTACTAAAAATACAGTAACAAAAGAAAATTAGCCGGGTGTGGTGATGGGTGCCTGTAATCTCAGCTACTTGGGAGGCTGAGGCAGTGAACCCAGGAGGTGGAGGTTGCAGTGAGCTGAGATAGCACCACTACCCTCCAGCCTGGGTGACGGAGCGAGACTGTCCCCAAAAAAAAGAAAAAAAAAAGCTTCCAAAAGACATTGAGACAATTTTGTAATGTTTAGAAAAATTAGAAATTGGATTGAGTAAAATTTACATATTTTACACAAGAGGACTAACATCTTTATAATATTTAACCTTTCATTTCAGTACATTTATAATGTTTTATGTCTCTCAGCCTATCTTTTCTAGTATAGGTGATTTTTGTAGTGTGGTTACTATTGTGTAAATGAGATCTTTTCCCACTACTTTAAAAAATGAAAATTAAATCAATCGCTTTTATGACTTAAAACATTAAATAAAACTTATGTAAGTGTAAACATTATTTTAAAACATATGTAGAAAATTAAAGCCCCCCATAATTAAAATCCCTTTCCCCCAAGAAAAACAGTCAACAGTTGATGCATATTCATCAGTTTTTTCCTAAAGTATGTTTTAGCACTTTGACCATATGAGACAACCCTTCTGCTCTTAGCATTTTTCTCTTTGCAATAGATCTTCCTATGTCAGTACACGCCAATCTACCTCATTCTTACCTCTGCATAAGAGAGTAGTGTGTGGTTGTATAATAGTTTAACTTGGCGATTGGTTATTTATTTTGTAACTAGCCAGTTACTGAACTATTCTAAAGGTTTTGCTGTTGTTAATTTCTTTTGCCTTTTTCAGTTGGGTAATAATTCTGGGTAGGTTGATAATTTTATTCCCATGTTTGTAATCTTATTTCACTTTCTCAAATCATCACATTGACCGGTACTTTTAGAACAATGTTAAATAACACTTACATAATTCTGCTGATATTGTACATTATTTTATATATATATATTTTTACTTAGAAGAGTGTTTCTCCAGAACTATAAATTTGACTCTTAGTGTAAAATAATCTTAATATTTGAATTATACATTAAGGTTATGCCCTCTATTTCTAGTTTGATGAAAATATTATTAGTAATGGATGTTGGGGTTTTATTTAATGGCTTTTTTCCACATCTGTCAAGATGATCAACTGGCTTTTCTCTATTATGACTTTAGATGAATCATTAATAGATTAGCTAATGTTAAGACATCTCTGCATTTCTATAAAAACCTGATATAGTCATAGTATATTATTCTTTTAATATACATCTCCTTTCAGTGTTAACAGTGGTTATTTATGATTGGTTGGTCTATAGATTTTTATTTTGTGTTTATTATCTGTACTTTCTGATTTTTCTACAAAGATCGTGTATTACTTGTATAATAAAAAATAAGAGCTTTAAATTGTGAAATTCTTCTGGATTTGGTTTTCTCATTTTATTATGGAATTTTTCATACCTAAATAAGATGAATAGTTGTGTAATTTTTTTTTTTCTGCTTTGTCAATTATTGGTGTTTGTTAACTTCTTAAAATTAAAAAGAACCTGGGAAGCTGTTTTTCTATGCCCTAGAAACATTTAAATATTTAGAATTTTTTGCTCTATTGAAGTTTTTATAACATGTATAAAACTGTCCAAATCTAGTGCCTCTTGGGAAATATGTTTTTTTTCCTTTTTTTCAATTTTTTTTCATACTCATCGGTTTCTTCAAACTTTATTTCTATTCTGTAAGTTTCTGGCAATTTAAATTTTCCTGGCTAAGTGTGGTGGCTCATGCCTGTAATCCCAGCACTTCGGGAGGCCAAGGCAGGAGGATCGCTTGAGCCCAGGAGTTCACAATCAGCCTGGGCAACATAGTGAGACCCTGTCTCTACTAAAAATTAGCTAGGCATGGTGGTGTGTGCCTGTAGTCCCAGCTACTCAGGAGGCTGAAGCAGTAGGATCACTTGAGCCCGGGAGGCCGAAGCTGCTGTGAGCTGTGAGCACGCCTGGGACACAGAGCAAGACCCTTTCTCAAAAAAAAATTTTTTTTAATTAAGTACATTTTCCTAAATAGTGATTCTGTTCTGATTTTCAGACTTGTTGGCCTGGAGTTGCAGTATTCGCTTCCTCATTCCCATGTTGTGTGTGCTTTCCCTTTTTGTTCTCATTAGTTTTTCCAGAATTAGTCTGTTTCACTGATCTTTTCAAATAACCAACTCTGAGATTTATATCTTAATTTACTGTTCTACTATTTCATGATTCTTTTGGTTTTGTTCTTACTACTTTTTCCTTTATTATTTTCCCACCTTCTTAAGTTGCATGCCATTTTAACTTTTTCTTCCTTAATAAAAGACACAGTTACTAACATTGTAAGGTATGACTTTTCCTCTGAATACATCTTTATCCCTATCCCTTAAATTTATATTTAGTGTTCTAAGTTATAAATAATTTATAATTTCAGATTTGACTTTATTTTTTACTGGAGTTTTTTGAAGTTATACTTTTAAATTTCCAGGTAGTTTTATTTTGTGGTTGTTTTTAGCATTTCTTACAAACTTCTAGTTTTATTGCCTTGTCAAAGAGAGTATGGCCTGTACAATTTGTGCATTTTGGAGATCATGGATGTTTTCTTGAGACCTAATAAATTTTTAGTTTTAATACATATCCCCAGAAAACTGAAGAAGAAAGTATATTCTCTGAAGGTAACAAAATTCAATCAGATATATTCATTTGACCTTATAAAGTATAATATTATGAACCTTTAATTTTCATTTACTTGATTCATTAAGACTAAGAAAGACATGTTAGTCTCCTGTTATTGTATTTCTGTCTATTTCTTTTGTTTCTAACAGTTTTTGCTTTCTTTTTGATGTTATTTGGCAAATGATCTTTTTAAGGGAAAAAATATTTTCCTTTAAAGACTTGTATACCTTTGTGAATCTTACCTGATTTTGTTGTAATAGTTGTTTCTGTAGAAATACATAGTTCAGTAAAATATTTACGTCTGTTTTTAAGTCAACAGAAATCTTTCAGAAGTCCTTTGTATCTTAAGAAGATACTTTGGAAGTTCTTGATCTTCCTAAGTAGGCTAATGTTCTTGCGGGCTACTCCTGAGCCAAAGCAAGAGTGGTAGTGTGGACTGAGGCGTATTAGGTTTTGGGTTTTTTTGAGTGTACCAATGTTTCTGGTTCCTGCTTTGGGGCAGCCCCATGCTTAGGGATGTTTAGGGGATGCCTGCCCTTCATCTGGCCATATTCTGCCTCAGTAGGGCCCACACAAAGGTAACCTAGGAGGCACTTTTCTTCTGTGGGTTCTAGCCTTCTGAGAAGGCAGCAGAATGTAGCTTTGTGTGCCTGGCTATTGGGGTAAAAGCTAATCTGAGAGAGTTACTCCACCAGAAAAGATTTTGTTTTTTTTCTGTAGAGTCAGAGTCCCGCCATGTTGCCTAGGCTGGTCCTGACTCCTGGGCTCAAATGATCCTTCTGCCTTGGCCTCCCATAGTGCCGGGATCGCAGGTGCAAGCCACCACACACAGCCCCCACCAGAAGAGGTTTTTCCAGAGCTGTTGGAACAGGCTATTCACGTGGCAAAGTCTATCAAACACAGAACCGGCTTTTTCCAAATGTGTAGGAGTGGTGAATCCCAGCCCTCAGCTCAAGAGTAAAAGAAATAGAACCTTCTCTATTTTCCTTCATTCAAGTGAGTGTTGATTTTTGAGCCCCTGTTCCACCAGGCTCATGCAATTTGACTCAGTCAGCTCCAGGACTCCCCTTTCTCCAGAGGAGAGTCCTTTACAGTTCTGGGGAGCTTATATATTCCAACATGTTAAGGGGAGAGGGGATCCACATCTGCTCAGATATTCCCGGTTCCTACCCTGCTGGATACCTCATGCCTCCATCCCATGCTTGGGACATAGGAATTAGCTGTTCTGTGCTGTAGGAATCTCCATGAAGCTGTACTTGGCCCTGACTGCCTGGGCCCTCCCTGTAGCCACGCCCTGTCTGGTGCCACAAAGACTTCATTTAACTTGAAGGGACTGCTAGATAAGCCAGACCTGTGTTTGCACAGGAGTCAAGACCACTGAGTGGAAATAATTCTGTGGCTGCCACCAAAGCTGTTTGCATTGCCGAGAGCCACAGTTCTACCCACTACTTCCCAACCGTGGCCCCAATGCGCCTGCCAGAGTTGTTACCATCTCTGTGCCCTTTCTCTTGCTTATTGCACAGTAGGTTACACAGTCTTGTGCTTCTCCCTCTTGCCATGTCATCTCTTCACTCCACCACTGCTCTGACCGGCCCATGCCTATGCTGTTCCCCATACCCTCGAGGATCTCCTCCGTTTTCATGTTCCTCTAATGCAGAGCTGCCAGAGGCTTCTTCCTAAAGCATGGGGCAGATCAGGTCCTAGGACACCACAGGCTCTTTCCCTACCTGCCCAGGCCTTGCTGTGCACTCTCTGTGTTCTTGCTTATGCTGCCCCACTCCCTGGAATCCCTTTGCTGCTCCAACCCCATTCCTCTTTTAGGCCCCAAAGGCCCCAGCCCTCTGGATGAAACTGAACCACTACCAGGAAGGGGGACTTGTGCCTCTTCCGTCACCCTTTTCATACTTACAGCTGTTAAATCATTCGTGTTTTCATTTAGCAAATATTTATTGTGCCCACTTATGCCCAGGCCCTGGGAACACCACGGTGAAAAGACTATTACTTTCCCCAGATCTGCTCTGTTCCAGTGGAGGGGTGAGCTGCTCCATTGCAGGCATTCATGGAACTCAGCTGATGGGGGATTTTTGAGGCTCCCCCGCAAGGCAGAGCTCTCACAGGCAGCCGAGGACAGGGGCCAATGTGCACCCCGCTTCTCCAGACCTGGGATGACCTGGGCCATTCTGAAGACCTCATGAACACCACGCTTCAGGATCGATGACCCCAGGAGGAGCCTACGGTGGCTAAGTGTGCCTGCTTCACTGTTCCTGCGTCACCAGCCCACTCAGGTCCTTTGACTTTTGTGTAGTAGCATTTTTCTAAGGACAATCTGCAGAGCAGCTGCTTCAGAGCTATTTGTATTGTTGGCCCATCCCAGGAAAACCTCCTAGATGAGGACCCTTGCATTCTGGGCCTGGAAATCTTCATTCTAGAAAGCTCCTTTTACCAGACAGAATAATGGTCCCCAAAGATGTCCACATCCTAATCCCTGGAACCTTGTAGCTATGTTACTATAGTTGGCAAAAGGGCCTTTCAGATGGAGAGATGATCCTGGATTATCTGGGTGGGCCCAGTCTAATCACACAAGTTCTCAGCAGCAGAGAACCTTTCCTTGGGTCAGAAAGAGATGTGATGATGGAAGAAGGGTCAGATATGATGCTGCTGGCACTGAAGGTGGAGGAACGGGCCACAAGCCAAGGAACAGGGGCAACCTCTAGAAACAAAAAAGGGCAAAGAAATGGCTTCTCCCTGGAGCCTTTAGAAGAGAACACAGCCCTGTCAACACGTTGATTTTAGCCCAGTGAGACCCATGTTGGACTTCTGACCTACAGAACTGTAAGATAAGAAATTTGTGTTTTAAGCAGCTACTTTTGTGGTGATTTGTTATGGCAGCAATAGAAAACCAATGCACTCTCATGCTTTTACATATCCTATGGTCTGAGAGCCTCTGCCCCATAAATCCACTCAACTACATGGGTTTCACATGCCATGTGGCCTTTAACCAATGACCTCCTCGTTCTGGCTGCTGTTACCACCTGCTTGATTCCCTGGTTCAAATTCTGAAGAGAGAGTGGATGAACAGATGAATACACAGGTCTGACTGGCCCCACTCATTGCTTTTCACTCCAGGACAATCCATAGGATTGGCTGTGCTAGAAGCAGATGGCAGTCTTCCTCTGGCCAGAGGGCCAGACTCCCAAGACAAGGTACCTGGCCGTATAGGAGAGAGAGGTCAGAGAAGACCTGGTGGAAAAGGCTGTGGGGTTGAGACCTAAGGATGGGCATGGGTTTGCCAGGACATGGAGGGTGCAGGGAGAATTCCAGACACTTACGCTTAAGAGAATAGGCCCTTCGGGGGCAGGCAGGAAGCAGTATGGTATTGCTGGACTAAAACCTGTGGCAGGGGCAGCGGCTGCCCAGGGGAGGCGGCCAGGTCTCTGAGGGTTTTGTCTGCCAGGCTGAGGGGCCGCCCTTACTGTGTGGGCTGGAAAGCCAGGGAAAGGTGAAGACTGGCAGTGCTTTGGAGGCCGATTGCAGAGATCTGAAGCTGGGCAACAGGAGACACTTGTCCCCACTTCCTTGGCTCTGAATTCCCTGAAGCCAAAGTCTGGATTGACTTCAAGGCCTGGCTGGAAAAGGGAGAAAGGAAGGAGAGAAGGTTCCAGAAGAGGAAGAGAAGTGTTGATACACAGAAGACACAACTGGGCCAGGAACTTTTATTGTGAGAACGTTCTTTTGAAAAGGATCCTTTCTCAAAGGCCTCTTGTGTTTGCAGCTCTTAGAAAGCGAATTCTGAGAATTATTTCAGCCTGATTAAGCTCGCTGGTATCTCAAAATACTGAAATATTATAATTACAAACAATAATAAAAAAATATGTAATTACAAACAATACCAAACTGCAAAATAAGCATAAGAAAAGTCCCACGAAGTTCTGATTTTGCTACTTTTTCAATTCCAAATTCTTTCCCTAGGAAGTTTGATGCTGAGCCTGGCCTGTGGTGGGGAAGGAGGCCTGGGGCACAGCCACTGGACCTGCCTCTGGGATCTGGACCTGATGCCCAGCGAGTAGCCCACAGGTTGCGTCGCCCACAGGTTGCGTCCCCCACTGCAACACCCCTGGGAACCCGGGTGGGAGCAGCGGGTACAGGGGCCAGTGCAGAGTCGGGGCTTGGACCATCAGGCCTAGACCAGCACAGTGAGGCACATTCATTCATACACAGGAGTTGGATTTGCATTCTGAAAAGGTAGCACACATGACAGACCCGTGGGCAACCTGGCAGTGGCCAGGAAACCTGGCAGTGGCCATGCCACAGAGGGAGGCCCAGGCTGCAGCTGCTGAAAGGGACTCATGCCCCTCCCAGCTGTGCCAACTGAGGCCCCTCACGCTGCTGTGTGCCAGAGTTAGTTAAGAAGACACTGGAAGGCTGGGTGCAGTGGCTCACCCCTGTAATCCCAGCATTTGGGAGGCCAAGGTGGACGGATCACGAGGTCAAGAGATTAAGACCATCCTGCCAACATAGTGAAACCCTGTCTCTACTAAAAATACAAAAATTAGCTGGGCGTGGTGGCACACACTTGTAGTCCCAGCTACTCAGGAAGCTGAGGCAGGAGAATCACTTGAACCCAGGAGGCAGAGGTTACAGTGAGCCAAGATCATGCCACCGTACTACAGCCTGGTGACAGAGCAAGACTGTCTCAAAAAAATTTAAAAAAAAACAAAAAGACACTGGAAGTAGGAAGATTTCTGTTCTACATCAGGACTTTCTTTGGAAACGAGGTAGACTCCTTTTGTTCTGTGGAAACCCAGGATTAACATCACCAGAGTGAGGGTGACAAGGTTAGTGAGGATGCTTGCATAGTCTGAGAAATGAATGGACTGTTTTGCATCAGTCCCTTCCCCTTTACCAATTTTAAAAATTTAAGGGGGAGAAAATATTTCAGCATGAGACTGAAATATTTTCAGTTCCTGAGGAAAATAACACTATTCCTCCATCCTTAGTATTCACTTAAACAAATGTTTTGCTAAAACCTTATTAAAAACTTTAAGCCCACCCAGGCACGGAAGGCTTTGCTTTTACAGCAGCTAAGGTATGTTTTCATTACCCCATGAGTGATGCTAATGCATTGTAAATAGTTCTTTATTATGAGTTTATGTAGTGCTTGGTGCCTAAAATAAATTTCATTTAAATATTTAAAATAACTGCTGAATATAAGCAATTTATTCTGATTATTGATAAAATAACATTCACATTCAAACCTATAAATCTGAGAAATCACTATTCCATATACACAGGAGGCCACAGTCAGCAGTCTAATAGTGCTGCTTACCAGAGTAGTGTAAACTTCTTTCAGAATCAGGGAACAATTCTAGATCACCCATGGTGAGAAGTAAGTGCTCTTCTCTTAGGCCACCGACACTTCCGATTGGGTCTTGACATCCCACCTATGGGCTGGTGTGTGCAACTCTCATTTCTACTTCCCTCCCCAGTTTTAAGAGTCACTGCGTCACACAAAAGTTGCAGCATTGGCCAGGCACGGTGGCTCATGTCTGTAATCCCAACACTTTGGGAGGCCAAGGCAGGTGGATCACGATGTCAGGAGTTCAAGACCAGCCTGGCCAACGTGGTGAAACCCTGTCTCTACTAAATATACAAAAATTAGCCAGGCATGATGGCACGTGCCTGTAATCCCAGCTACTCAGGAGGCTGAGGCAGAGAATTGCTTGAACTCGGGAGGTGGAGCTGGCAGTGAGCCGAGATCGCGCCACTGCACCCCAGCCTGGGCGACAGAGCGAGACTGTCTCAAAAAAACAAAAAGAAAAAAAAAAAAAAGCTGCAGCATCCCACACAAGACCCTGCTGATCTTCTGGGCTGTTATGTGGCCCGTCTACCAGCACCCTGTTAGTGTGCTTTTCAATAGGTCTTAGCCTCACCCACTTTATTCAAGCCTACTGTGGCAGGTACCTTTGTCAAACTTGAGCCTAACCATCCCACTGGCCAGGGTCCTGCTCATCGCTGTCCTCCTCAGAGCCAGCAGACACCCTCTTGATTCTCTGGAGTGCGGCCTTGATGCTCCTCTCAAGGTCACTAGTGCGTCTGTTGCTAGTTGGTTTGCTGCTGAGGTTTTGGCCAAGATCAGGGTGAACTTTCTTCAGTTTGACCCCTTGCCTTATGGCAGCCAGAATGTGCTCATTGACTGAGGCGTGGGGAGGGCGCATCGTTGGCACTTGCACCTTCCGGAGAGGAGCTCTGCCATGCCTTAGGGAGGCCAACACTTCATCCATAGATCCTGAAATTGAGTAAGCAGAGCTAGTACCATCAAGAAAACACATTCCCTTCCCAGAACATTATTGCTATGAAATTGTTAAATCTCACATCAGTTAACACCATGACTTAAACAAACAATCACTTCGTTAAGCAAATGCCTTGATTACCTGCTAACAATAAGCCTCCTGGTTGAATCCAGGATAGCTGAATAGCTCATGTTTTAGCTTAACCACTTTCTTTCTGCTAACTTCTTCAAATCCATAGCCACTGACAGGAACAGGCATGCACAACTTTTGTTAGAATTACTGTTTTTCAAGACAAATGTGATCTGTCCCTCCCATCCTGAAGAGAGTTACGGAAGCCTGGGGTGGAATAGTCTCACCCACTGTACATGACCTCTGAAGGATACCTCTGAAGCTGTATCTCCTTCATTACCCTGTCCAGCTAAAAATCTTTTTTAAAAAATTTTATCCTGCTCAATTTAACTTCAGTCTTGGCTATTAGTCAGTGATGACTCATTCTATGACAATGAAGTGAGTAGGTTTCTACACATGAAAAGGCTTAAAATAAAACTTCAACCGGCAACTCAATGAACCGCCACCGGAGGGGTGGCACTGGCACATTTTTCTATATATAATGTGTTTAATTCCACCTACATTACCCTGAGGTAGCTTACATACTTTATTTTTGAGTATGTGAAATGCTGTCAAAACACAAATTAGATCAGAGCTTCAAGGCGTTAGTGAGGAGAAGCTATTTTTCACTCTGGCACCTGGAGACCCCTGAGAGGGTAAAATCTTTTATCGCCCACTGGAGACAGGCCTGCCTGTGGCCACTAATTTAGAGATCTTCCAGGTAAGGCTTCAAGATTAATAATCAATTCTAGTTCAGGATTGAAAGGCCATGCTGTGGCTAACAAAAGGCTATTTTGCTTTGGATTTAAACCTATACCTCCTTATTACAATTTCCTTCTGGGGGTAATGAGACAGGTTTCACAATCAAGGGCATTCTCTGGTGCAAATTCACACTTTTTTTTTCTTTCCTGTGATTTAGCAGTGTTTGTGAGTTGAACAGAACTTCCCAAAACCATGTGCATTAAATCTGGGATGGGAATGTGGCACCCCACAAAGATCTGCCCACTTCCAAAGTCTGATCTAGACACAGCCATGCAAACTCTTTACTTTTCATTCACAGGACAGTTGTTGCAAACCCCATGGAAACAGGCCATTGGGTCTCCACCTAGTATTTGGACATTTTCATTTGTACCTGGTTCTAGGTACAGTGAAGCTCTGAACTCAGAATAGCCAGATTGCTCAATTAACCAGAATCAGTCTGGAACTGTTATATCATTCATAACACCTAATACAGTAACCTTGCACAGTTTAGGTGGAGGTGCTTAAGCATACTTTTAAAAACAAATTTACATAAATTTTGTTAGGCTATTCTAAAGTGCACACACACACACACCAAAGCAATAGGCTCCAAGTCTAGGCAGATTCAGGCCATTCTCCTCAAAACTTAATGTCTAAAGCCATAATTCGAATTCTGAGAACTATAGCCCTATTAAAGAAATTGTCAAGAGCATTCAGTGTACTGCACTTGCCAAGACAAGTGGCCCACTTTTTCTTTCTGATCCATTACACTTTAGAAAGACTTCCAACAGTAAGGGTTCCCAGTGTGCCAGTCAGTCTGCAAGAACAACCTTCTACATTCTGGCTAATATGCTTCTACAGTAATTTCCAACCAGTATTCTGCTTAAAATACAAAAACTGGATTCTGTAAAGGACTCAGAGATGCAACAGTAAGCATAGTTTAAAACCGTACTGAAAAGTATTCCAATGGCAGAAATCAAATACATACTGAAGTCTTAAGAAACTTCAAATAGGTTGATACTTTAACCACCTCAGAAATCCCAAGTCATGTGATCATTAAATGTATAGAGATGGTTTCTTCAAACTGAATTAACATTTATGATTTGAAGATGATGGCTTCTGAAGCTAGAATGCTTCAACAGCTTAACAACTCATGGGGGAGCAGGGACAGAATTCCAGTGGATTACCTGGACATGGAAAACTTTCCAAGGAGTCACGTGGTCTCTCAGCAGGTGATTCACACACTAGAGGAAGTGGCTGGTCATCTTTCACTGGAGCCCGGAAGCCTAAGTTCTGATGAGTTGCAGCTTGAGAGGATGAGGACAGAGCAGGGAGAGGAGGCGGGGGGGGTAGGGGGGGGGGGGGTGGTGGAGGAGGAGGAGGAGGTGGTGGCAGTGACAGTTCCTCACTGGATTTGGAATGTGTTTGATCACCAACTGGAACAAAAACCTGGACAGGGATATTTCCATGACAGTCTTGACACTTGGGGCTTTTCATGTTACCAGCTTCCGATAGGGGAACGCCTCTAGTTTTCCTAGAGGACGGGTGAATTACTGACACAGCCTGGGAAGCTGGCAAGCATGTCTGCTGGGAAAGGTCGCCTGGCAGGTTTGGAGCCACAGGTTCTGAGCCAGAGGTGTTTCGGACAGATTGAGCTAGGTGTTTCTGAAAATGAAAAACCATGGTGAGGAATCTGCCACAAGTTCAAACCATCAAAATGCTGAAACTTTCTAGAAATCTATAAACACATGCGTTTCTATGCATGGATGGTCTAATTCACAAAGTGGCTCCTTCTTGTTTGTACAGCCATCCTTGCTACCAAAGCCATTTTTCATGGATTAAAAGATAAGCATTTATATCCTTTGATCAAGTATTACCTTCTCTGTAGTAAAATGAAGATACGAAAGCATACATATAGAGGAAAATAGTCATCAATTTTTAGTATGGAAAATTAGAAATGCTAAAATACAAATTATAGGATATTAGTTGAAAAAAGTGTGACAAATCTATTCAAAATATTAAGTAGCTGGCAAAAGAGCAAGACTCTGTCTCAAAAAAAAAAAAGCCATAAAAAGTGAAATAGTACAACGCCTGAAACATCTGAAAAAATCAGATGATACAGTGTTCAGTGAAAACCAGATATAAAATATGTATTATGATTAAAAATGAGAAAAGTTCTATGAAAAATGCCAGCACAGTGGACATCCAAGTGGCAGCTATAACAAAGCCTGTGGATATTTCTTTTCTCTTACTTTTAGGCTTAGAGTTAATTTCATAATTAAGAAAATGTAAATTGAAAAAGTTCTGGTCTTTCAGGTATTCATTTGATAAAGAAAAACCTAGCCCTACAAAGAGCTAATCTTGAGAGGAGGTCCCTAAAGAAAGCACTGATTAGCCAATGAAACATAAAATGTAATACTATGAACTCATTAAAATGAACTAGCTCTATACATATTAACATGCATATATCTCAAAAACCTAAGTTAAAGAAACTGGCAAAGGATGCATTCAATATGACCCTATTAATGCAAACACACACACACCATGCAATCCATGATAAACTCAAGGAGTATTTCCATTTCCCTTACATTCTGCTCCTTTCAGGACAAACAGCAACATGGCAACAAGCCCCCAAACCTCCCTGATGCAGACACAGCCATGCAGCTGCCGTCCTGCAGCCTTCTGTCAGAGAGCATGCCAGCAGAATTCGAATCCCAGAAACGGGGCCAGAGGGCTAAACGCCAGTGCTCACCCAACTGATCTCCATCCAACTGATCAGGTCATGCCTGATGGGGTTCCCTGAACCACCCAAAGATGCTTTCTGTGGCATCCGGGCTGCAGCATGTCACTGTGACTCTGGACTGTTAAGTTCTACCTTTATTTTTTTGTAGAGACAGGGTCTCACTGTGTTGCCCAGGCTGGTCTCAAACTCCTGGGTTCAAGCAATCCGCCTGCCTCAGCTTCCAAAAGTGCTAGGATTACAGACTTGAGCCATGGCGCCTGGCCGAGTTCTGCCTTATACTGCACAGGCATTCTGTCCACCCACGATAAATTAAATCCTTTACCTCACACAGCCCTTCAGATATTCAAAAAACTTCCTTGATCTCAACAGATACCATGTATCACATGATTTTATTTCTAGTTTTCTCCCTCTCCTACTTCCTCCCTTCCAAATGTGCTCAAATTGGCTATGTCCCCTTTAAGGGTGGCACTTCTTGGTAAACACAGAACTCCCTTATTCTACACAGGACGCCACTGTCCATACATGCCAAAAGCCCACAAGCTTTTGTCACACAGGTGGCTCATTAAGCTGAAGGAAACTGAATTCTCAAATTCTTTTACCCAAAATTTAAGCCACACAGACTTTCCTGTCACCCCATGCAAGCGCATACCTCCATACGAGCTTTTTTGGACTAGAAAACCAGTAATGTATCGCAATTTTGGGTGAACTTGTTAGCATTTAACTAATTGTTCCTGTTGGTCGTTGGGAGCTTAGGAGGCCTGATTCTGTCATTTCATTTTCATATCACCCACACATGAAAAAGTAATATTCTGTATTGCCAAACAATTCCTTGATCTGAGTGAGGGCTGAGGAGACGGGCTGGCTGCCCTTGGATCCCTTCCTCTACACTGACTCCATTCTGTTCATTGAAACTGTCTTGGTGATGGTGACCAGCCAGTTCCTCTCCAGCTCACTGGCTCTGCATTTATCTAGTATTCATGCAGCTCCTTCAATTCATGCTTTCCACTGCAGTTCACACCCAGGCCCCGATCCAGGGCAGTCACATCAGAATTTCTGTGGGTGGGGCTGGGCCTTAGTACTTAGAAGAAGCTCTCCAGAGGATCTGGATGTGTTGCCCAAGCTGAGAAGCCCTGTGTGGCCCTGGAGTAAGACCTGGCTTCAATTCCTGCTGTTTAACCTTGAACTAAGTTGTGTAACCAACTATTCTGAACCTTGGTAACTCATTTGTAAAGTGGTGATGAAACTATCTCACAAGGTTGTTTCAAGAACTAAGTGAGAGTGAATGTGAAGTGCCTAGCATGGTGCCGGGTATATGAAAGGCATCAGATACCTATTCCAGAATCTTTTCTGGGACAAAGTGGGTTGTTTCCTTTTCTGGGGCTACAACAAACTTGGGTCTTTGTGATGGGGCTGGGGAATGAAGGCAGGTCTATGTTTTATAGTCAGTAAATTCAATGATATTAAGCCCCTATTTACTTTTTTTTTTTTTTTTTTGGAGACAGAAGAATCTCACTCTGTTGTTCATGCTGGAGCGCAGTGGTGCAAGTTCGGCTCACTGTAACCTCCGCCTCCCAGGCTCAAGTGATTCTTGTGCGTCAGCCTCCCAAGCAGCTGGGACTACAGGCATGCACCACCATGCCCAGCTAATTTTTGTATTTTCAGTAGAGATGGGGTTTCACCACATTGCCCAGCCTGGTCTCAAACTCATAGCCTCAAGCAATCTGCCCGCCTCAGCCTCCCAAAGTGCTAGGATTACAGGCGTGAGCCACCGTGCCTGACTCCCTACTTATATTGTTTTAAAAAACCTATTTACCTTTAGATAAATGTTTGAGGTGATGGATATGCTAATTACCCTGATTTGATCATTACACATTATATACCTGTATCAAAATATCACACTATACTTCATAAATATGTACAGTTATTATGTGTCAATTAAAAATAATAAAAGCTAAAAATTATTTTTTGAATCTTCATAGCAGCTTTTTTTAATTAAAGGAATTTATCTCTAATAATAAAGTCAAGAAATAGGAAAAAAATTACAGACTCAGGATCATTTTGTGGAGGAAATACAAATGTAGGCCTGTAACAGAGGGCATAAAAAATAGCATTATCCTCATAAGTATATACTTTAAAAAAAAAAAAAAGAAAAAGGAAAGTTGTAGATATCAAAAAAAAAACCCATTTTACTTTTAACAGGGCACTTTCACTACACTTATATCACAATGCTGCCTGGATAATATTTTAAAGAACTGTTTATTACAAATGAGGGGAAATGCCAGCTAAATCAAGGGAGTTGAACAGTTTTCAGTTTTCCCTGCCAATCTAAACCACCAGTGCCAGTTAGGACTACTCAGTCAGGAGTGCAGAGCAGGAACCCAAGCGTGTTGTGATGTCAAAAACAGTAATTATTTTATATCTTGGGTTTTGAATCACTGATATTCTATTTTTGTTGTTTTTTAATGATATACCAGAAATAATGGTATTTTTTAAATGTTCACGTTCTGCATGACCTGTTCTTAATACTTTATACTTTCCTCTTTTTTAGGGTGGTCTTCATTTATTTCCCCAGAAGTGTAGATGAGGTGACTTTTTATAGAACTTACATCTTTAAATGCTCTCAATCGTTGGAGTGTTTTTTGACGTTCTTGGTTGATCCATTCTTTTTTCTTTTGCTCCTCTTCTTTTATCTTGTCTCTTTTCTATATTTAAACAAATGTATATTTCTAAATTGCTCAACATTACAAAAAATGTCTCGTACCCCAACATTACCACCCCAAAGCTGCGCCCAGGCTGCAGGCCTGGAGGCAAATGGCTGACAGCTGCAGGTCCAGGGCAGCGCAATTCCAGTTTCCACAAGTCTAGGCCTACATGTCACGCTACACAAACACAGAACATTTTCCTTCAGAGGAGACTCACCATCTGAATACTGTGATGCTGACGAGAGTATCTTATGCTTTCTTCAGCCTGTTGCAATCTGAGCCGATGATTTTCTTTGCACTGATCCTGGTGGAATAATACAAATCACCTACATGGTTTTTAATGTTACCCTGGTATAGCATAAAAGGTTAAAAGAAAAAAGCACTGCCCAGTTCTGGTGTGGCCCAATGGTACTGTCTCCTCCACAGTCTATGATGAGGGTTGCCTGGCTGCTTGTGGAAATAATTTGTTCCCAGCAGAGTGCTTTAAGAGATGAAAAATAATCCACCAACCCATGAGAGGACATATAGGGAGCCCCCACTCTTAAATGGGATGTGTCCCAACAATGTTTTAATGTGATTGTTTTAAACACATTTCCCCATAACATTATAAATACTAATTACATTTCCAAGCGTACCTACAAAAGCAGAGCAACCTACAAATACCTAAAAAATTATAACTGTGTTTCACTTGTGCTTAACCACTCACTATACCAATATATAATAGGCTATATGTACATAAGATCCTTAATCTATGTAAAAAATAATACAGTAATACTCACAGATAATACTAACCCTTACTGAGTAGGTTTTAGCCTCAATGCCAAGTACTTTTCATGCCTTATACTACTTTATCCTCGCATGAAATTTGTATTATTACCACTATTGTCCTTTTTTTTTTTTTTGAGACTGAGTTTCGCTCTTGCTGCCCAGGCTGGAGTGCAATGGTGCGATCTGAGCCCACTGCAACCTCTGCCTCCCAGGTTCAAGCAATTCTCCTGCCTCAGCCTCCCAAGTAGCTGGGATTATGGGTGCCGTGCCGGCCTATCATCCTCTTTTAAAAGATGAGAAAACTGTAAGCTCAAAAGAGATTTAAGTAATTTGCCTAAGGTCACATGGCTACCTAAGTGGCCAAGCTGTGATCTGAACCCAAGTTGAGAGCTCACCTCAACTACCATTCTATTAACCGAGTGCTTTCCAATTCCAACATTTCCAGAATCAGTGGAAAGAGCTCCTCTAAATGGGGTGGGGGAGTGATTGTATCTTTAGAGTGAAGGTTACTGCTCCAAGTCTGGATAAGAGAAGGCATAGGAGCATTTTATATATATATACATAAAACACTGCCAAGGAGGTAGAGGCATCTCTTCATCCACAGCACCATGGAAGTGCCAAAGGAGACTCCTGGGTTCATGGGTTTTCTGAAATGTGGAGCAAAGGGCAAATGCCCGTATATCTTCAAATCCTCTGAATAACAGTTCCTAAATCCAGAAGTACAATTCTTAAACATGAGCATACAAAGAATATACTCTTCTAACAAAGTTTTTTATTTTTATTTTTTATTAGAGACAGGGTCTTGTTCTGTCACCCCGGCTGAAGTGCAGTGGTACAATCATAGCTCACTGAAGCCTCGACCTCCTGGCCTCAAGCGATCTTCCTGCTTCAACCTCTTGAGTAGCTGGGACTATAGGTGCGCACCACAGAGATGAGGTCTCACTGTATTGTCCCTGGTCTCAAACTTCTGGTCTTAAGTGATTCTCCCACCTCAGCCTCCCAAAGTGCTGGGATTACAGGCATGAACCACGGCACGTAGCCAAGTTTTTTTTTAACTATTTGTATTTAGATGGAAGAGTAATTAACATTTTTGTAAGCTACAAAAGTCACAATTTTCATGTTTTCTTAATTCTAATTAGAATAGTAGGCCGGGCACAGTGGCTCACGCCTGTAATCCCAGAACTTTGGGAGGCTGAGGCAGGTGGATTGCTTGAGGTCAGGAATTCAAGACCAGTCTGACCAACATGGTGAAACCCCATCTCTACTAAAAATAAAAAATTAGCCGAATGTGGCCGGGCACTGTGGCTCATACCTGTAATCCCAGCACTTTGGGAGGCCGAGGCAGGTGGATCACCTGAAGTCAGGAGTTCAAGACCAGCCTGGCCAACATGGTGAAACCCCATCTCTATTAAAAATAGAAAAATTAGCCAGGTGTGGTGACGTGCACCTGTAATCCTAGCTATTCTAAGGCTGAGGCAGGAGAATCGCTTGAACTCTGGAGACGGAGGTTGCAGTGAGCCGAGATCACGCCACTGCACTCCAGCCTGGCGACAGAGCGAGACTCCATCTCAAAAAAAAAAAAAAAAAAAGCCGGATGTGGTGGCAGGCACCTGTAATCCCAGCTATGTGGGAGGCTGAGGCAGGAGGCTCGCTTGAACCCGGGAGGCGGAGGTTGCAGCGAGCCGAGATCGCGCCACTGCACTTTAGACTGGGAGACAGAGCGAGACTCCGTCTGTCTCAAAAAAAAAAAAAAAAAAAAAAAAAAAAGGAGAAAAGTATAGTAAATATGAGTAAATACATATAAAAGTCTGTATAAAAATGATATATAGAAGCTTCCTTTTCTGCTGGAAAAAATTAAATTTCTTAGTGTTATCTTTTTATGTATTCATGGATTTTTAAAAATTAAGAAAAAATCACCAAATATAAGGTCTGAGGTGAACTGAATATTATGTGTAATTGTTTTGTGTACTCAATAATTTACAGTAAAATATATTTAGAATTGTTATAGTTGGTTATTAGTAATAGAGTTTCTACCTATTGTGGTTTTTAAAGTACCTGTGGTCCAGCGGCGATGGCTCACACCTGTAATCCCAGCACTTTGGGAGGCCAAGGTGGGCGGATCACTTGAGGTCAGGAGTTCAAGACCAGCCTAGCCAACATGGCAAAACCCTGTCTCTACAAAATATACAAAAATTAGCTGGTCGTGGTGGCACGTGCCTGTAAACCCAGCTACTTGGCAGGCTAAGGCACGAGAATCGCTTGAACCTAGGAGGCAGAAGTTGCAATGAGCCAACATCATGCCTCTGCACTCCAGCCTGGGTGACAGAGCAAGACTCTGTCTCAAAAAAAAAAAAATAAAGTATCTGTGTATGCAATGGGCATTCAACAAATAGTTGTTGAATGAATAAATTAAAACCCTGAGATTTGCTAAATGCTTAAATCCTAAGAGAAAAAAAATATTTTTAAGAAAAACATTTAAAAGCATTTTAACTATAGTCATGGATAAGTACATACGTACATAAGCCATGGATAAGTACAGAAAAGTAATCACTGTGTTGGTAAAAACCTTATTTCAGTACCTCTTTATCCTTCATACAAGAATAAATTTCTGGAAGAGAAAATAAAAGAAAGCCGCTCTGAGCGTATCTACCTTTCTACTCCGGAGAGAGGCTCTTTTGGCACAGATCCTGCCCCGTTTAGACTCCAGCTGCTGGCACTGCCTTCTGAGTTCTTTCACTTCCAAATTCTTATCATCCTGCAGCCCCACCACACAGTCAATGACTTTAAGTTCCTCTGGACTTTCACATGGATCGTAATAGACAACTTCATTCTGTTTCTCTAAAAATGTATTAATGATTGTTTAAAACACATTTTATTATTTTCAAAAATGCACTGAATTTTTTTAAATGTAAGGAAAATAAAGATCACTTGTAATCCCACCACTGAGCACTATTAACATATATAAAAAATATACGTGTATATATACATGACTATATACATGTGTGTAAGTAGCATGTGTGTATATACATGTAAGTAGTGTATGCATGTATATATACATGTATATATAGACATACATATATACACATGCACACACACACACACATACTACTTATAAAGCTACACATATCAATGGAGTTCTAAAAGAACATTTTCCATGGGATGGAAATAAATTTTTAGGCCAGGTACAGTGGCTCACGCCTGTAATCCTAGCACTTTGGGAGGCCAAGGCAGGCGGAACACCTGAGGTCAGGAGTTCAAGACCAGCCTGGCCCACATGGCAAAACCCCGTCTCTACTAAAAATACAAAAATTAGTTGGGCACAGTGGTGTGTGCCTATAATCCTAGCTACCTGGGAGGCTGAGGCAGGGGAACAGCATGAACCTGGGAGGCAGAGGTTGCAGTGAGCCGAGATCGTGCCACTGCACTCCAGCCTGGGCAACAGAGCAAGACTCCATCTCCAAAAATTAAAAAAAATTTTTTAAAGATAAATTTTAATGGCAGCATAGTATTCTCTAATTTAAGCAATCCATGTTGTTAGGCTGTTCCAGTGTTCCATTATTATTCATTTCACTGTGACGAACATCTCTGTATAAATCTTTGTGTACACTTTTTATCACTTCCTTAGCAGATAAAAGGATCTTGATACCCATTGCCAAACTGCACTCCAGAAAGGCAACTTATATTCTACCAGTAATATATTATTAAGATGCCTTAGTCATATTTAATCTTGATTACATACTGATTTTTTTAAAGTCACGCTTACTGTAACAAATTCAAACCCTCCAGAAGTACATAAAATAAACAGTGAAATTTTCTTGCTCCTTCCCCAAACCTTCTGAGTCATTCTTAGAGGAAAAACATTATGAACAATTTGGCATGCATCCTTCCAGGTTAACTTCTTTTTTTAATGTAATTTTTTCCCTAAATATGTAAAACGCTTATAACCTGAAACTACTGCAAAAAATTGTGAATACTCAGGATTAAACTAAAAGTTCAGGATCTATGTGAAGAACTTTATTAAACTTGGAGGAAATTTAGGAAAAAAGATTTAAATAAATGGAGAGAGACATACCATGTTCTTGGGTAGGAAGATTCAAAATTGCAAAGACCACTATTCTCCCCAAAGTAATCTCTAATTTTAAGCAAAATCACAATCAAAATTCCAACGAGTTTTTGTTTTGAACTTGATTCTAAATTTCATCTGGAAGAATAAAGGAGTGAAAACAGTCAGAAAACTTGTGGAGAAGTAATGGGGGGTTGACTTGCCTTACCAGACCCTAAAATGTGCTTCCAAGGTACAGTCATGGGAACAGTATGGAGCCAGCAGCAGAGCCACTCACAAACCAATGGAGGAGAACAACTCAGAAACAGACCAAAGTCAATCTAATGTTTAGCTTGAGAAATGTTAAACATTTAGGGAAAATGTTTTTAAAATCAGTGATTGGGACTGCTTAACAATTTGAGGGAAAGATTCAGTTCCTACCACAATCAAAATAAATTCCACCTGGACTAAAGAATTAAATGTTTTAAAAAGCAACATCATAAACATACAGAAAGAAGACATAAGTATATACTGACATAATTTTGGGATAGGAGAATACTGCCAGACAAAATACTAAAAGCAGAAGCCACAGGGGAAAAAAATTGATAAATGTGACTTCATAAAAATTAAATATTTCTGAAAGGCAAGAAAACGCAAATGACAAGGAGAGATTATTTGCAACATATGACAGAAAATAGAGGATATTATTCCTAATGTGGAAAGGAAATATTCCAAAGAAAAACAGACAAAGACTATGAATAGGCATTTCATAAAATAAATACAAATGGCTCGTAAACATACAAAATTTTGTTCAATATTCACTCATAATAAACGAAAATTGGAAGACTGTCATTTCCTTTGTCAAGTAAACAAAAATGCAAAAGAATGGCATGAGTCTGGGAAACATACACACTCATATTCTGCTGATGGGAGCATCTTTCTTCTTTTCTCTTTTTTTTTGGGGGGGGGACAGAGTCTTACTTTGTCACCCAGACTGGAGTGCAGTGGTGCCATCTCGGCTCACTGCAATCTCCATCTCCCAGGTTCAAGCAATTCTCCTGTCTCAGCCTCCCAGGTAGCTGGGATTAAAGGCGTCCACCATCACGCCCAGCTAATTTTTGTATTTTTAGTAGAGACAGGGTTTCACCACGTTGGCCAAGCTGGTCTTGAACTCCTGACCTCAAGTGATCTACCCCCTCAGCCTCCCAAAGTGCTGAGATTACAGGCGTGAGCACACCCAGCCTGGGAGCATCATTTTAAATGTACAACCTATCTAGAGGGCCATTATGTAGTATGAAATTTGGAAATCAGAAAATAATACAGAGGTGAGGAAAAATGTATCTCAGATGATTATGGTATTGTTATGTATCAAAATGAAAAATATACATTGCCCTTGACTCAATAATTCCATCCTTAGAAATTTATTCCAAGGAAATAATCTGTCCTATACTCAAAGACATGGGTAAAGGAAAGTTCACTACACTACTGTTCTAAACAGCTGAAATTTGGAAATCATGGTATATCCATAAAATAGAATACTATGCAGCCATTAAAATATTGATACTTTTATTATTCACTGAAATAGACAGTTATTATGTATTAAATGAAAAAGACTATTATGCATTGTATGCCTGTGTCAAAATATCTCATGCAACCCATAAATATATATATCTACTATGCACCCATAAAAATTAAAAATTTTTTAAAAAGATGTTACGCACTTGGTTAGTTTTGGTTAAAAATTTATATTTTTCTATATCAGCATATTTTAAAATCTACAAAGTTATAGAGCAAATTGTTACCACTAAGTGTCTCTCTTTTTTTTTTTTTCCTTTTTGAGACGGAGTCTTGCTCTGTCGTCCAGGCTGGAGTAGAGTGGCACAATCTTGGCTCACTGAAACTTCCGCCTCCCAGGTTCAAGCCATTCTCCTGCCTCAGCCTCCCAAGTAGCTGGGATTACAGGCACGTGCCACCACACCAGACTTTGTATTTTTAGTGGAGACAGGGTTTAGTATTTTTGTATTTTTAGTAGAGACGGGGTTTCACCATGTTGGCCAGACTGGTCTGAACTCCTAACCTCAAGTGATCTGCCCACCTCAGCCTCCCAAAGTGCTGGGATTATAGGCATGAGCCACTGTGCCCAGGCAACCACTAAGCATGTCTAGATGATGGGATTCGGGTAATAATCATTTTTCTTTCTTTGTTTTGCTATGTGTTAACAATGAATATATTATTTGAATAATAAACCACTGAAGGAAAACTTTAGGAAATTTGCAGATGTTATAATTTACAAAAAGTAATTGATAATATGGTATTTCCTTAAATTTATAATTTAAACATTGTAATCTATATACTTAAATATAAATTTTACCTTTTATAAGTCTTTTAAGGGAGTCCAACTGTGTAGTAAGCAGTATTTCTTCATTTTTTAATATCTCAAATTTAACTTCATATAGTTCTAACTGAATTTCATAAAATTGTATTTCTAATTCATCTACAACATTTATATTTTTTTCTTGTTCTGGAAGATCTTCCATCTTATTTTCATAGAAAAAAGAAAAATAAGTTAAAATAAATTAGTATATTAAAAACAAACTTTAGAAGCATTATAGCTATTTTCTATTCCTTGTTCAGCACTAAATATAAAAAAGCAAATAGGAAAGAAACTCATTTCATCTAGTGATGCAAATACTTTATATCATCCTTGAAACAGAGGAAAACATTTAGGTTTTGAGAAACATAAATGGCAATGAGGTATTATTATGTATTGCATATTGGTGTCCCCCCAAATTTCGTATGTTGACACTCTAACTCCTAGTGTGATGTTATTTGGAGGTGGGTCCTTTGGAAGTAATTAAGTTCAGATTATGTCAAAAGGATAGCACCCCCGTCATGGGATTAGTGCCCTTATTAGAAGAGAAAGACAGGGATCACTTTCTCTCTCTCTAAACATACACACAGAAGAAAGGCTATATGAGCACTCAGTTAAGAAGGCAGCTGTCTACCAGACAGGAAGATGATCTTCACTGGACAGTGAATCTGCAGGCACTTTGATCTTGGACTTCCCTGCCTCCAGAACTGTGAGAAATACATGTCCGTTGTTTAAGCCACCAAATCTGTGATAGTTAATCTTGTTATAGCAGTCTGAGCCAACTAAGACAGGTGTTTACAGTGTTTTCTGCTTTAAAGTCATAAGATCATAGGAAAAAACTTAAGTGACTATGATCCTTCAGTGAAGTATCTCTTTGATTATTTTAAAGTTGTACTGAAAACATTGCTGGATTGATTTTCAAGTACAGTACCCACTTCAATACTGAGCTCGGTGTTACTATAAAGTGAATCCTACAATATGGTATTTTGAAACATTTTAACCAAAGGAAAACTATGTCTAACCTTCCGTAGAAGATGGTGTTGGAATAAGTGAAGAAAAGAAGCTCTTTAACGATGCCTGGAAAGAAAAGTGCTATCTAAAAATAAAAGTGTCCTTTACTACATGGTCTCACTTATAAGTGGGAGCTAAGTAATGTGTATACACAGACAGTGTGGAATAATAGACACTGGAGACTCAAAACAGTAAGAGGGTGGGAGGGGGGACGAGAAATATTTAATGGGTACAATTACATTATACAGGTGATGATTATACTAAAAGCCCAAACTTCACCACACACAATATATCCATGGAACAAAACTGCACTTGTATCCTTTATTTATACAAAATTTTTAAAAAATAAAAGTGTATTTTTAAAACAAAGTTACATTTATCTTTGTCTTACCTTTCCCTGAATTTCAGCTCTTTTGTGATTTAAACACAACTCTTTCGCTCTCATGAGTTGCAGAGTCTCTCGAGCTAGCATTAGCCTAAGTTTTTCCAACCTGGGAACTGCTGTGGCCCAGGCAGCCTGGCCAAATCTCTTCGCATCCTGTTCCATTTCTTTCCGCATTACTGTTGGATTATAAAAATAAAATATAATTACACCTCATTAAAAAGGGAAACATTTATCATGAACTAATCCTTTCTTTATTGCCTCCATTCTATCAGCAGAACATCCTTTTTAAAAGAAATTCTGTTTTATTAACTTTTTTATTATTATAAAAATAATACATGGCCATTGATATAAAATTTTAGGCATTCCATTTTTAAAAAGACAGTAAGTCATGATCTCACCTAGTTGAGGCAACTGCTTCTTATATTTTGGCACACTTGCTTCCATATTGTTTCTATGTCTAGCTAGACAGACAGGCTCATATGGATAGTTTGACCAAAAAACTAGGATCATCATTCTGCTTTATATCTTGTTGATTCTGCACAATATATCAGAAACTCTTGCCACTCATAAAAAAAGTCAAGAATCATGCTTAACAGCTACACAGTTTTCTGTTTTATGAATGTACCAAAACTTAACAAACTGATAGACATTAAGTTGTTTCCTATTTGGTGTTTTTATCAACAATTATTTAAGACTAAAAAAAAGTCCTTCACTCAGCCCACAAGCCCCTGCATGGTCTGACCCCACCTGTCTTGCCAGCATTTTCCCTCATACCACATTGTCCTACACTCTTTGTGATCTAGCCCCGCAGGTTTTCTTTAAGCTCCTACTTGCCAACTTCCCTCACGCCAGGGGACATTTGCCAGTGCTATTCCTTTTGCCTGGAATACTCACTTTTTTTTTTCTCTCAACTTCCATTTACCCTTCAGATACTGGGACAAGCGCCACTACTCAGAGGCCTTCAGTGACCACCACCCTGATCAAGCCCAAGTTCTCTCTCACAGACCCTCAGAGCCGCATGTCTCTCTTCTTTGTGCCATTTATTGTCACTGCCATTTTCCATGTGCTTCAATGAATAATTAAGATTTCTCTCCCTTCACCAGACTGTACAATGTCTCTCAATGCTTGACACTGAATTCTCGGCACCGAGAAAACATAGTGCCTAGTGAGTAAGAGGGACTCAAATGGTATGTGAATAAAATGACAATTACATGTATCTTTGTATAGCATTTTTTAAATTATCACCTGCTAATGCTTTTACTGTCTCCTTAAAATAATTCACTGTGATATCTTGAATAGAGACAACAGCTTCTTCAGCCCGTCTGGTCCATTCTTCAGCTTCTTTCTCCAGGGCAACCACCCTTCTAGGACCTAGGTCATCCTCATCCAAGGACTTCTACAGACGAAGGGAAAACTGTCTTAGTAACAGCTAATAGTTATGTAGAGCCATTAGGAAATTGAAAGGAAATTGGTCACATGGATTAACTATACTACTACTCAGTCAATTAAATTTTCATTCATTCAGCAGTCCCTTACTGCGTATGAATAAGGTTCTAAGTTGAGTACCACCTGAAGACAAAAGGACACTCTGGGGCATAAAGGGAAAAAAAAGCCTACTTTCACTTCACATGCCTAGAGTAACTTTTTCTAGAGAGGAATGTTGTCAAATTATGCTTCTCTCTAGTAATAATAATACACAATTGTTTAAATAAGTGATCTGTGTTATCAAGCACACAATGTAGGGCCTGGAACAGAGCACTTAAGTGTTAGCTGTTATCATTTCTTTTAGGGATATGTAATATAATCACCTAAAAGAAAATATCTGTATATTCATGCTTATAACATACTAGTATTGGTCTGAATGTTTGGGTCCCCCCAAAATGCATATGTTGAAGTCTAAATCTCCAGTGTGATGGTATTTGAAGATGGGGCCTTTGGGAGGTAATTAGGTCATGAGGTGGAGCCCTCAAGAATGGGATTAATGCCCTTATAAAAAGAAGAGGAGACATAGGATCTCTCTCTCTCTGCTCTTCACCATATGAAGACACAGCAAGACAGTCCTCTACAAATTAAAAAACTGGCCTTCACAAGACATTGGATCTGCCAGCACCTTGATCTTAGACTATCCAGCCTCCAGAACTGTGAGAAAAAAAGTTTTGTTGTTTATAAGCCACTAATCTGTGGTACTTTGTTATAACAGCCTGAAGTAAGACATGTGCTGCTATGTCATCCAACGTGCAATTTCTCTTCTACAAAGCATAAGAAATATGTACAAGTTAGCCGACAAGGAATTACAAATCAAAGCCATAACAAGATACCACTTCACACCCACTAGGATGGCTGTAACCAAAGAGACACACAATAACAAGTGTTGGTGATGATGTGGACAAATTGGAACCCTCATTTACTGCTTTTGGGAATATAAAACGATGCAACCACTTTGGAAAACCATCTGGCAGTCTTTCAAAAGGTTAAACATTGAGTAATGATAGGACCCAGCAATCTTACTCCTCAGTATGTACACAAGAGCTATGAAAACATATGTCTACACAGAAACTTACACACAAACATTCACAGCAGAATTATTCATAGTAGCCAAAAAGTGGAAACAACCCAAATGTCCATCAACTGATGAATAAAATGCGATATAGTCACACAATGAATATTACTTAGCAATAAAAAGAAATGAAATCCTGATACTTGCTACAACATGGATTAGCCTTGAAAACACTGAGATAAGTGAAAGGACCACATATTGAATAATGCTGTTGCTATGTCCAGAGTAGGGAAATCCACAGAGACAGAAAGTAGATTGGTGGTTGCCCAGGGTTCGGAGTGACTAATGGGTACAGGGTTTCTTTTGGAGGTGAAAATGTCCTGAAATTACATAGTAATGATCATTGCACAACTTTGAATATACTAAAAATCACCGAATTATACATCTTTAATCTGTGAATGATATCTTAAAACAGCTGTTACTTAAAGAAAGGAAAAATATAGACAGGGTACGGTGGCTCACGCCTGTAATCCCGGCACTTTGGGAGCCCGAGGTAGGCAGATCACCTGAGGTCGGGAGTTCGAGACCAGCCTGACCAACATGAAGAAACCCCGTCTCTACTAAAAAAATATAAAATTAGCCAGGCATGGTGGCACACGCCTGTAATCCCAGCTACTTGGGAGGCTGAGGCAAGAGAATCACTTGAATCCAGGAGGCAGAGGTTGAGGTAAGCCAATATTGCACCATTGCACTCCAGCCTGGGCAATAAGAGCAAAACTCCATCTCAAAAAAGAAAAAAGGAAAAATATATGCAAGAAGTAGACTCTCCAAATAATAGACTTTCAAATAATGAACAGAACAACTTTATCCACAGGTTAGAGTGGCATGAGTTTCATCTAAATGTGATACTATTTTTATAGTACAATCATCTGGCAGGGGTCATGAGATTATATGTGGAAAGATGGCCCAGTGCAGGGGGCAGAAATCAAGAGACTTCGTAGGTGTCTTCTGATTCTCATTGTTGAGACCCAAGGCAAGCTATTTAACTCCTCTGGACTCTAGATTCATTTGTAACACTGGAATAAGAATGCCTTTTCTGAATGGCGTCACAAGGTTGTCTGATGGCTCAATGAAGCAAGAGTGATAACAGCATTTACTAAAATTTAAGTTACTGAATTACAATCTAGGGTCCTGCTATTTAAATTTTCATCCTATTTTAAGAAATCTGCATGAGTCCTTAGAGGAAAACAAGCTGAAGCAAATAAACATCACATCAAAAACAATTCATCAGGCCGGCCTCAGTGGCTCATGCTTGTAATCCCAGCACTTTGGGAGGCTGAGACGGGTGGCTCACTTGAGATCAGGAGTTCAAGACCAGCCTGGCCAACATGGTGAAACCCCATCTCTACTAAAAATACAAAAGAAGTTAGCTGGGCATGGTGGTGCACATCTGTAATCCCAACTACTCAGGATGCTGAGGCAGAAGAGCTGCTTTAACCTACAGGAGGTTGCAGTGAGCCAATATCATGCCACTGCACTCCAGCCTGGCTGACAAAGGGAGACCCTGTCTCAAAAAAATAAAAAAATTAATTGCCAGAAAAAACATTTAACTCTTTCAAATCTGTAGGAATCTTAAGCTATTAAGATGACCAACGTAAATGTCTTCATTTTCTATCAATGTTAAATATAAATTCAACATTTAAACATAAGGGTGAACTAGGCATAGTGGCTTACGCCTGTAATGCTATGCTTTGGGAGGCCGAGGTGGGCAGACTGCTTGAGCTCAGGAGTTCGAAACCAACCTGAGAAACATGGCAAAACCTCATCTCTATCAATAAATAAGTAAATAAATAAACATAAGGGCAAATCCAAACAAAAAGAGACTGAACATTAAGTATAAATAAAGAAATAATATATGACAAATGTGAATCTGATAAAATAAAAATTTTTAAAAAAACATACCAAAATATCAAGCTTACATAAAGTTGCAACTTCTCGCATAGCCCTAAATGGCTGCAATAAGTACTGGAAGAAGATGGTTGCCACAGTAACTAATTCCTGGTACGCTTCATCTTCCTCTTGGTACAATTTCATTAATGCTACCATGGTGTTGGCTTTTCCGTGTCCTTGAATAACCTAGAAAGCAAATGTGAATAAAGCTCGAATCAGGACAGTATATTTAATACATACCCAACAAACTAAACTAAAGAAACCTTCATGTTCTCAACTTTTAATACATCAATTTTAAATATTGATTAAATAGGAAAATGTTATCATCCTCCATCAAAAATGCCCAATAAAACAAGAATGGTTAAGTAAAGTATGATATATCCATGGCAGAATATTATTACTGTAGTCATTCAGCACTGTGCTTCTGAAGACTGTTCAATAATATGGAGACTTTTGGCCAGGCACAGTGGCTCACGCCTGTAATCCCAGCACTTTGGAAGGCTGAGACGGGTGGATCACTTGAGGTCAGGACTTCAAGACCAGACTGACTAACATGGAGAAACCCCGTCTGTACTAAAAATACAGAATTAGCTGGGCGTGGTGGCACACGCCTGTAATCCGAGCTACTGAGGAGGCTGAGGCAGGAGAATCGCTTGAACCTGGGAGGCAGAGGTTGAGGTGAGCGGAGATAGCACCATTACACTCCAGCTTGGGCAACAAGAACGAAACTCCATTTCAAAAAAAAAAAAAAGGAGACTTTTATAATATTAAATGGAGAGGCAGAGTGCAAAACTTAACCTCAACTATGCGCTAAGTATGCAGCAGAAAGGACCCAAAAGAAGGTTTGAGGTTGTGGATACTTTTTCATTTGACTTTTCTGACTGTAAAGGTTTTGTGAGGCTGTATTCCTTTTTAAAAGCTCATTAGGCCGGGCGCGGTGGCTCACGCCTGTAATCCCTGCACTTTGGGAGGCCGAGGCGGGCGGATCACGAGGTCAGGAGATCGAGACCATCCTGGCTAACACGGTGAAACCCCGTCTCTACTAAAATACAAAAAAAATTAGCCGGGAACGGTGGCGGGCGCCTGTAGTCCCAGCTACTCGGGAGGCTGAGGCAGGAGAATGGCGCGAACCCGGGAGGCGGAGCTTGCAGTGAGCCGAGATGGTGCCACTGCACTCCAGCCTGGGCGACAGAGTGAAGACTCCGCCTCAAAAAAAAAAAAAGCTCATTAAGGGCCACGGCTGGTGGCTCACGCCTGTAATACCAGCACTTTGGGAGGCCAAGGCAGGCAGATCATGAGGTCAGGAGATCGAGACCATCCTGGCTAACACAGTGAAACCCTGTCTATACTAAAAATACAAAAAATTAGCCGGGTGTGGTGGCGGGCACCTGTAGTCCCAGCTACTTGGGAGGCTGAGGCAGGAGAACAGCATGAACCCGGGAAGTGGAGCTTGCAGTGAGCCGAGATGGCGCCACTGCACTCCAACCTGGGTGACAGTGCAAGACTCCGTCTTAAATAAAAAAAGAACTCATAAAATATTACAGAGCTGTCTCCAAGCACTTCAGCATGTTGATTCTCTTCATGTCCCAGGTTAACAGTCCCAGTAAGCCCTTAGCAGTGAACTCATTTACAGAGCCTCAACTGTGGTTCCAGTCTCTGCTGGTTACAGCTTCTGGGGCAAGGCAGAAAATAAACTGAACAGTGTATAATCTAGGTGGACTCACTTGGTAGGAAATTATTTTACTCCCGCAAGAAGAGAAATAAAATCAAATAATATAGATTTTTTTCAACTAATACATTCTTAAATTCTTCTATTTCCATCCTTCTGCTTAAGGAGAAAGTGATCTACTTTCAGCTGTAGTTTTTTATCCAGGTAATAATAATATTATTATTTTTTTTTAAGTGAAAGCCTCGCTGCACAAAATTAAGACACACGCAAAAGTAAACTTAAGGCAAGTGATGCATTTCAGCCTTATTTCTTAGACTACTCAGAAAACTTTCAGAGTTAAAACATTCAGCTTCATTTTATATATCCTAGCAATACTAGCAATTGATCTAATTCTAGAATCAATTGCTTTTCTATTCTAAATATAAATATTAAAATTATATATTTGGACATGTTTTGAATTGAAGCTTCTTCCCCTCCCAACCCCTCATTTTTAAGTTCCAAATAAATACGTGAACTACACTAATGTGAACAGCTAGCTCAACAGTATGAACTGCATTCATGCTATAGTACCCCAGAGTGAACTTAAATTTGGGAAAACTATAACTTTTCTGATAGTAACTACAGTAAAATACATCATATAAATGTTCGATTTTAAGGAGAAACCACCTATCTCTGTGAGAAACCGAGTGTGTAAAAAACAAGTCTGATTCAAAATGATATCATTTTTCACCTCATATCCTAAGGTGAAAATGATAAAGTTGAAGATCAAACGCTGACTGGCCTGAAACTCCCCTGTGGCTTCCTCATAAAGTGAAATCAACACATGAGAAGTGGGTGTGTAGATATTTACACATAAAACCCACAGTACAAAAATGACCCCACTAACGAGCTCCTTTTATAAAATCATTTTAATTTAGAAAGCTTATTCTATATTTAGCTTAGGCTGAATTCTTCTCTTCACCTCCCCTTCCTCAAAAGAATGCACAGAAAAAAACCATTCAGGTTAATAGCAGTGAGCCGAGACTCCAGCCTGACTCTCCTTAGTAAACTGTGAGTGTGGATTTAGAAGGCATATTTTCTCCTAAACCCTTCTATGAACTTGTACTTCCCCATCCCCTTAGGTTCAGTAGGTTTACCACTCAAGTAATTACTCTCTCTCAAACTACCTCTTTCAAGCTTAAAAGGGCACTAATGCGGTTATTCCAAACTGATGAATAAAGTTCACTTTCTGCTGGCTTTCCATTTGACTAAGTATATATTACTTAAAACAAAACACTCTATCTCCTAAAAGCCATTTCTTCTATCCCATTCGCGACGTTCCCTCATACACAGACTTAGAATTGCTTACATTTAGTCCGTGTTATTCTTTCCTACATGGATGGGTTGTTTTCAGTTTTGCTTGCATATTTCTGGCATTTCCCGTTGCAACATCCTGCTCTGCCAGCATCTTCAGGGCAAAGGTTGGGGGCCTAGCCCAGCTCCCAGCTGCAAGTACACTAGGCTCTAACTTCGCTTGTCCTCTCTGCAGGCCCTCCCGGAGCTACCGCCGGTTTCCCGCAGCGGTCCCGCGCAGGTGAGGGCACCGGGGAGCCCACGGCCTTCTCCGCCCGCCGGCTCCTCCCCATCAGCCGTCAGCCAGGGCTCTCGGCGCCGGGGGAGTCTCCCACAGGGTCCCAGGCCATGGAAGCGGGGACGAACGCCTGCGGCCCGGCCTCTCTTACCTGGCGCAGCCGCGCGTCCACCTCGACCCACCGCGCGCGCAAGGCCCGCTCCCGGAACTCGCACGGGCTCTCGCAGTCGGCCGCGCCGCCCTCAGCCGGGAAGAGCGCGTCGCGCACTGTGGCGCCGCCGCAGCCGTCGGCCGCCGCGCCCAGGTAGCGCTCCAGCTGCCCGCACAGCTCCTGCAGCGCCGCCTCGCCGGGGTCCGCGCGCGCCGGCCACAGCAAAGCCCACAGCCCGAGCCCCAGACCCCAGGCCCCGACGCCGCCGCCCACATCCAGCTCCGGCGGCAGCCGCGGGAAGCAGCGCTCCAGAGGCGGCCACAGCGCCGCCAGCTGCCGGTGCGCGCCGCGGAGCCCTGCGGCCGAGAGCAGGCCTGCCCAGCTGGGCGGGGACACGGCTGCCTCGGGCTTGGGCTCGGGCTCGGGCCCCAGCCGGGCCCCCTCGCGCCGCCGTCGCTGCTGCGCGGTGCGGTCGTGACAAGTCACAGCGAACTTGCCCTCCGCTTCGTTCCAAGCCACCAGGAAGCGCAGCCGGTGCCTCTCGGGCTCGGCGAAGAGGCCCTCCCGGACAGGCACCCAGCCCTCTAAGCTGTCGGGCTGCTCGTCTTCCATGGCAGTCGGCGGCAGCGGTCCTAGGGCTCGGCGGGCGAGGGCCTGGCCTGCTCGCACCGCCAGTCACGGGACAGTCCGAACCCGAGCATTTTTCACTGGAATCGAAACCGCGTCAGTGACCCAGCAGCGCCCTGGCCCCCGGCACCTCTAATTGGCTGACCCGGAGGTGGGGCTTACAAGAGGTGTTCGGGGTTGGTTGGGTGATAGACGACAGGGCCAGCGACAACCAATGAAAAGGTGAGACGGTGTCCCTCAGGAGTCAATCATCTCGCAACCCGTTCAGGAGTCTGGGAAATACAGCTCTTGCCTCACCTTTTCCACCCAATACATAAGGACGTTGGAAAAATATCTGTTGAATCGGCGAGTTGTTGTCTTAGTCTCCCACACTAAACTGTGAACTTCTTGAGAACAGGGACCAAGCTGATTTCCTTTTCTATCATCAGGGCCCTATTGAGTACATGGTTCCCGCCCTCAAGAATGTCACAAATGTGCTGGGGAGATGAAACATAAACTCGATAGTCATTTATTGAGGGCCTCTAAGTGCCAAGTACTGGGCAAGAAGCCACAAATTTATTTTTGTCAATTCAACAAACTTTTATTGAGTGTCGGCTGTGTGTCAGTATTGAGGGGGTGGAGTAAGAGGAGGAATTCAGGGCACTGCAGCTCCCAACCAGGGTGTTTAAATACAATCTGTGTTCTAACTCTTCACTTTAGAGTTAAGGAAACAGAGGCCCAGACAAACTTAAGAGACACCGACACTCGGGCTCGACATGACCACCTGGCTACTGAAGGCCTGTTTAAGGAGATATCAGGAAATCCAGTTTACATGTCAGGGTGGAGCTAGATCTGTTCTTGCATCAAGGACCAAGACGGCCCTACTCTCTGCCTAGGAAATGTGCAGTGTAGACTGAGAAATACAGTCCATGTCCGCTCCCATCCTGGGAGTGCACTGAGACAGGTGGTGGTAATGGGGGGAGGAAAGGAGGCAGATGCCAGGAAGCTGGGATCAGGAGCCCTTTGCCAAAGCAAGGCCTGTGAGGTGTTGATTTGGGAACAAGTGAAAGCGTGTGTGAAGGTTTTGAGCTGGGAAAAACTGGAATCAGATTTTGTACTTGCTGTTGTCCCCAAGGGTAAACAATAAGCAAACAAAAAAATCAGGGCCAAGCTAAAGCTCTAGTTAGGACATCTCTCTGCCTTGAAAATGACCTCAAGAAATCTAGGAACCTCTGTGGAATGCAGCTTGAAGGTGGAAAGGTGCCTTTGTCTGAAGGTCCTTCCCCTTTTATGCCTGCTGCAAGTATGAGGGTTGGGGATTGGGCCCTGGGACACAGTCACTCAGTCTTCTTGGAGAGATAACCTTTTAGCTGAAGTGATTGATTTTCCCCTACTTTTAATATACTGTTTTAACTAATATGATTTACTTATGATTTTTAACAGTCTGTTTTAAATATCTTTCTTGTATATTCCTCACATTGTATCTTTTTACTATCTGTTTTATACTGTGTTATCATTTCTATTAGTTTTCTAATCTGTTTGGTTTTTCAACAGGAAATTGTCAATCTTTCTCATTATAAAGTGTCGTGGGTGGCTGGGTGCAGTGGCTCACACCTGTAATCCCAGCACTTTTAGAGGCCGAGGTGGGTGGATCACTTGAAGTCAGGAGTTCGAGACCAGCCTGGCCAACATGGCCAAACCCCGTCTCTACTTAAAATACAAAAAAAAAAAAATGTTAGCCAGGTATGGTGGTGCATGCACTATAATCCCAACTACTCAGGAGGCTGAGGCATGAGAATTGCTTGAATCCAGGAGGCAGAGGTTACAGTGAGCTGAGATTGCACCACAGCATTCCAGCCTGGGTGAAACAGTGAGACTCTGTCTCAAAAAAAAAAAAAAAAAAGAAAGAAAGAAAGAAAGAAAAGAAAAGAAAAGAAAAGAAAAAAGAAAATTATCCTCTTTATGTATATTAATATATGTCTTAATCCATTCAGGCTGCTATAACAGAATACCATTGAGTGGGTGGCTTATAAACAACAAACATTTATTTCTCATAGTTTTGGAGGCTGGAAAGTCCAAGATTAAAGTACTAGCAGATTCAGTGTCTGGTAAGGACACTTGGTTCATAGATAACTGTATTCTTACTGCATCTTCACATGGCAGAGCTCTCTGGGACCCCCAGTGTAACGGCACTAATTTTATTCATGAGGGCTTGCCTTCATGACCTAGTCACCTCCCAAAGGCTACATTTCCAAATATCATCACATTGGGGATTTAAGTTCAACATGGGAATTTTAGGGGAATATAAACTGTCTATAGCATATGTATATACATGTATGATGGTTAATTTTTTTTTTTTTTTTTTTTTTTTGAGACAGAGTCTCGCTGTGTCACCCAGGCTGGAGTACAGTGGAACGATCTCGGCTCACTGCAAGCTCCGCCTCCCAGGTTCACGCCACTCTCCTGGCTCAGCCTCCCGAGTAGCTGGGACTACAGGCGCCCGCCACCACACCCGGCTGATTTTTTGTATTTTTAGTAGAGACGGGGTTTCACCGTGTTAGCCAGGATGGTTTCGATCTCCTGACCTCGTGATCCACCCGCCTCAGCCTCCCAAAGTGCTGGGATTACAGGCGTGAGCCACCGCGCCCGACCGGTTAATTTTAATGTGTCAACTTGATTGGGCCACCAGGTGTTTAGTCAAACATTATTCTGGGTGTGTGCATGATAGTGTTTCTGGATGAGCTTAACCTTTGAGTCAGTAGACTGAGTAAAACCGGTTGCCCTCCCTCGTGTGAGTGGGCCTAATCCAATCAATTGAAGGTCTGAATAGAACAAAAAGTTTGAATAAGAGAGAATTCTTCCTGCTTAACTGCCTTCAAGTGGGGATATGGGTTTTTTTCCCGCCTTCCAACTCAAATGGAAACATTGGCTCTCCAGGGTGTTGAGCCTGCTGGCCTTTGGACGAGAACCACACCATTGGCTCTCCTGGATCTTCCGCTTGCTAACTGCAGATCTTGGGACTTTTTGGTCTTCATAATTACATGAGTCAATTCCTTATGATAAATCTGTTTCCATATATGTATACATTCTATTGGTTCTGTTTCTCTGGACAATTCTGACTATTACACTGTGTATGTGTGTGTGTGTGTGTGTGTGGGGGGGGGAGAGAGAGAGAGAGAGAGAGAAGAGAGAGATTATACTGTTACACTGGTCTGTGGGCTCAGCATCAAAGTAGGAATTTTGCAACACACCCCACAGTTAACACTTTCTTTTTTCCTCAACACCTAGACTCTTTCAATTTCTTAACAGAATCAGAATTTTGGAAGAAAAGAACATTAACAATAAATTGTCATTTTATAAATTATGAAACTAGAGCTTAGAGAAATAATCAATCACAGTCCATAATGAATGTATTGGCTGGATAGTCCCATCTCTATGACATACTGTGGCAAGTAAAAAAAAAAGAAAGTTAGCTTGAGGCATATATGGGAAGTATATCCTGTGATTTAATTAGAAAAGTGCCCCCAAAATGTTTTTTAACCTTTTATGGTTTATGAGCACCTCTGAGAATCTGTTGAAACCTGTGAGTTCTCTTCCCAGAAGTGATTCCATAAGGACACAAACATAATTTTGCATATAATTTTAGAAACTCATTTATGTAGCCCCTGGCAATTCCTGAGCCATAGATAAAGAAAACTTGCTTTAAAGTGTTAGCTATACAGTGATGTGAAAAGGTTCAAATCAGCCTTACAGGCACAGCCCACTTAAAAATATGGCATTTCCTACATTTAAAAAACAGGCATCTACATTATCATTAGTATTATTATGTTTTTTAAGAGGCAGGGTCTCTGTCACCAGACTGGAGTACAGTGACGCAGTCACAGCTCACTGCAGCCTCAAACTACTAGGCTCAAGAGATCCTCCTTCCTTAGCCTCTGAAGTAGCTGGGACTATAGTCATGAACTGCCGTACCTAGCTCCACATGATTGTTTTTAATTTTTGAGACAGGTCTTTCTCTGTCACCAGACTGAAGTCCAGTGGTGTCATCAGGGCTCGCTGTAGCCTTGACCTCTCAGGTTCAAGCAATCCTCCCTCCTCAGCCTCCCAAGCAGCTGGGACTACAGGTGTGCCCCAACACAGCTAATTTTTTTATTTGTGGACATGGGGGTCTCCCCATGTTGCCAAGGCCGGTCTCAAACTGCTGCACTCCAATAATGGAAATAGCTTCAGACAAGGGAGGGGAATCAAGTAATGGGAATCCTGGCCCCACAGTGGGAATCCCCAGAGATTCCCCATGAGAGAGTCAGAGCTAAGCATACTCCAGGCCCAGAGAGCCTGAGGCTGGTACCCACTCTGATGTCTACTCAAATAGAAGCCATCTTATGGCGTCAGCCCTCCTGCCCTGGCTTCTAAACCAGCATCTCTGGGAGGAATGTGGGGAGGAGAGGCCAACTCCATGCTTCCTTTTCCAGGGCAGGCTTCCTGCTAAAGAGGCCCACTCTGGGAAAGGGAGAAGATTTAACACTGGCTAAACCAGGTTTGGCTTTTTGATTAATCTATTGAACTGGACATTCAATTCCTGAATTTGAGATGCTGACTTCAAGTGACCTTAGGACTATGTGTCACCTAAGAGGGAGAAGAAAGTCATTGGGTCTGCTGGATTTTCATCCAAAGAGGGGAATAATTCCCACCTGGAGTACAGTTTAAAGGAATATTGGGAGAAAAAAATAAAGTTGCATTTGATTGCCTCCAGAGCTGTGCTTACCAAGAACACTTTGGAAGAAGCCCCCAGGAAAGCCCTGATGGAAGACGCACTGCCCAAGGGCTCTCAAGAATCTCCTTCCAGGCCCGGTGCAGTGGCTTACCCCTATAATCTCAGCACTTTTGGAGGCTGAGGTGGGCAGATCACGAGGTCAGGAGTTCGAAACCAGCCTGGCCAGTATGGTGAAACCCCGTCTCTACTAAAAATACAAAAATTAGCCAGGTGTGGTGGCAGGCGCCTGTAATCCCAGCTACTCAGGAGGCTGAGGCAGAAGAATCGCTTGAACCCGGGAGGCAGAGGTTGCAGTGAGCCAAGATCATGCGGTTGCACTCCAGCCTGGGCAACAGAGCAAGACTCCGTCTCAAAA